TCAAAAATTGGGAATAACCAACTTTTATATCAACCTTTGATACATATTTGTACTCAATATCATTACTCTAATGTATCACATAATTGAGAAACGTGCCTTTCGCAATATTTTTAGATGCTACTTTGGAATTATTTTCTATCGAGTGAAGTTAATACAATCATGTTTCGGTTTCAACCACAAGATCAGAAATACGATCAAGTATAACCACAAATTTTTGGATTACCATAGGTTTCCCGTGAATTAGTACAATCCTAGATCAATTTTATCGATTTGGCACTATTCAGCCTCTTAACGCAATTTAGTAATATCGATTGAAGTCGTATTTCATTGTTATTATTGATTTTTTTACAAATATTTTTTAAATATTTATTGTCCGTGTTATATAAAAATATGAGTTTCCAAATATAATATTAGGAAGATTTATTTATTTTATGGATGTAACATACGTAACAGCGTGAAAATACGTAGAAGTCACTTTATATGTATTTTGCTTATCCTGCCATTGAGAAATTAAAGGAATTATATTTTTTTTACTAATAATCCGAAAGAAAATATCGTTGGATTAATTCATATATTAAAAAAGAAATATATGATACCCTCATAATAATAAAAAAACAGCTGTTATGTTTTAATGTTTGATCTCCATACTGAAAGTTGCTATTTGTATCAGGCTTTAGTGGATAAGCGCCGCGGCCTGCAATCGTTGTCGTTAAGCAACTTTCGCAAGCGTCGGTCACGGGATGCGTGACCAAAAAAATTATTATATCGAGCTACTCCGTGCTTCTTAGGGTACGTTAAAGCCGTTGGTCCCGGCTGCATTTGCAGTCGTGAATACCCTCCAATCCGCATTGGCCGCGCGCGGAGGGTAATGGCCCATCGTCTTTAACAATCCATAAGGAAGGACTGAGCCCCTGCAGTGGGGACGTAAAAGGGCTGATTATGAAATTTCGTTGACGATAAGCATATTTATTTTGATAAGGATTTAATATCACCTATTCAAATAAACGACTAAAGACGGACAAAAAAAATTTAATACACTTTTACGAAGCTTTTTATTTTTTGGAAATATTTTAGCATATGGATATGTGCCATCGCGGACTATTTTATACAAAATTTAAATCTGCCATGCCATTGGAAGTACTTCTATCCTTAGGGAACCTTTTAGTGGGATAAAAAGTAGCCTATAAGTTAATACAGACCAAGAATTGCCTTTATACCAAATTTATTCTAAATCAGTTTAGTCGTTTTAGCGTAAATAACAAACATACAAACCCACAACTTTTCGCCTTTATTATATTAATAGAGCGACGGTTCTATACAACCAGACGTACTGTGTACCACTTTTTTGCGAAAAGCGGAAACTGACCATCTTTTCTAAAGAAGTTTAGATAGGGATTCTTTATTATTTTTCGCTATGAAACTGACAAAGCCACAGGAAACTGTAGCAGCAGTATATCCGGTAACGGAAACAGGATACAGTTAACACCACCGGACGTTATAACAGCTGGACACGTCGCGTCGAATACAAATTAGTGATGCTACATAAATACGAATAACTGAACCACTTTTATTAATTGCTACTTTTGATAAAGGTACTCATTTTTCAGATTTTTTCATTAAATGTAATTATGTTGCAGCCAAAAAATCATTAAAACAGTTATTTAATTGAGCGACTAACCCTTGTTGCGAGTAGCGCAACACGTTCTACAGTACGGCTGTATAAAGCCCAGCCAATCCGTAATGTAAATCACGATAGGAGACATAATTATGTAATCGTTTGTTCTTACAAGCTGCTTTATTCACATTCAACAGCAAAACTTCCGTGACGTTTATGTACAATTTACCACTGAAAACAGGAATTTTCTTCAAAAAGCAAGACATACCTCTAAAGCATAGATGTTAAAAAGACAACCGAATAATTTTTTTTCTCAACTCTAGATCTCATCTAAATTTTAGGCATGCCACATTGCCATATATCGGGATGGGAATCATCCTATAGATAATAATTTACAGACCATGTTTGTATCTAAACAGAGAATACTGGTGGTACACCAGGCATGCTCTTTGGGTAGTAAAATGATACATAAATTAGGCTTTGGAGTTAACCGAAAGACTTAATATATAAAAAATCTACAGGAAAGAGGCAATCCGATTTTAATGGGTGCCCTCACATAGTGGCATAAGTGGATATACAATGGTTCATATAATTACTCGCTTAGCCTATGATGAGGATTATTATAATTTGTTTCTCCATTACGCTTGAAACGAAGGGGAAATAGTATAAAAAAAGTGCAAAAGGAATTTCCTCCCAAACCGTGGTACCATACCTTTATATACAGTGATAGGAAATTCATTACTACTATAACAAGGATGCGATCGGGACATTATCTAACACCAGTACACCTACATGAACTCAAAATAATCCACAAAAGCAGATGTTCTTATTGCAATCAGGATAATGCCAATGTAGATCATTTAATACTCAGATGCCCACGTGCCACTCAGTTCACATTACCACAGAACACGTAAAAGAGGTTAGAAAGACGATCATGCATCCTTTGTACGAAAACCGATGTCGCCAGTCTTGCCCCACTTTTAGTCCGCCGTACATCAGACAAAATATCCTACCAATTATACAAAAGATATGCACACGTAAACGGAAAATAAATTATTGTACAATATTCTATTTTTTAAATATTAAAAATAATATTATTCGTCAAAAAGAAATCTCATAAAATTTTTGAAAAAAAATAAAAATAGCTTACGTACCTTTATATATACGGAATATAAATTAAATTATTTACTATTAAAATTTTCCTGTTTTATAACACTATGTTGAGTACGTGTTTGTATGTTCCTCGATACAATGGCATCAGAACCGATCACATTTGGGACCAGCCAAAGTAACGCTGAACGTCTATTGTCTGATTATGTGAGTAAATGTGTTTGTGGTGTTGGTCGTAAAGTGTGCACTATTGTCTTCTATTGCAGTAGTCAGCCTATTTTTCAACCACGTTGGGCGCCAGTGTTACGGGTTCGGTGCTTGGGTCAATTAATAAGGCTGCTTAGCTTGAGTATATATTTATTAGTTAAATAAGGGTAATAAGAAAAACCCTTGTCGGGCTTCTAGTCAACTTTTGGATCTTCCAAAATACAGATTACAATTTAGTAGTTACATATGTTATATAATTTGTATCACCATATCACATTATTTATCACCATAAATGAATTATTTTAAAATTACGTAGTAAAATTTATACCATTAATATTGTATTGTATTGTATTATAATTTCATCTTGTGCATAGGAGAATTTCTTACGAACTGACATCCATAAAGAGTATAATTGATTAGTCAAAATTTTAAATTACGAAAGACGAGTAATAAAATGAAATGATGTTGAATTTCAAAAGTAAAAAGTTTGCATACTGAAACCTAGGAAAACAAACGGTGGCAGGGCACACCGTTACACGCTCTAATATAACTATAACCAATCACGTTCAACCATAGCAGACATCTATAGTGCGAAATAAATGTGTAAAAGCCATTTTAATTTGTCATATCACACTAGTGATTGACATAAAGTTATTTACTATCGATATTGAAAAACAACAAGTCGATTAATTGAAAGGATACTAGAGTAATGATTTCTTTATATTATTTTGGATATACCTACATTGAATTGTATTGATAAAATGTGACATTATCTTTTTTCTTTAGATATTAATTCTTAATTAGTTGGTTGATTCAATAAGAAATATTTAAATTACTAATCAACTAACATTGAATTGGTAATAGTCAAGCTTAAATATTTATTTGCATATAAATATGTTTGTTTATTAATAATAATAGTAGGTATTTTTTTTACGTTACGTTACTCGATTTCGTATCAAGTAAACAGATAAGATCGGCAACATCACTTAAATGAAACTAATAATATTGACAAACATATTGTTTGTCGATTTGTAAATAAATATATACAAAATAAAAAAATACTATCAGTACAATAAATGCTATTGGAACTTATCCTGAACAGATTCCAATGATTTAAAAAATGTTGTTGTTAATGGTTCAAAATAATAAAAAAAAACTAATTTTCTGTTACAATATTAAGAATATAAAAACAGACTTATTACCACACTCATTATTAAATTAATATACAAACGCATACCAAACGAAGTCAATATGGTTAATCTCTGATTAAATTTATTTTTTATCATCCATTCTTTTATTTAGTTTTTACTAACACACCAAGAATCGATTAAATGTTTCCAGGCACTTCACTGCCCGTTATCCATTATGTTGCTATTAAAAACGGTGATTTCGCGAAGTTCTTTACATTAAGTGCTTAGTACGACGCAATGTAATACATATGCGCACTTCTCCAGCAATGTTTATTTTCTTGGAAATATTTTTTGTGATTCACACTTTTGATAACATTTCACGAATTTCGACTAAAAATACAAAATTTGAGAAGTGTTCTACTTACTTATGGAAAGAAATCCTTCCTTTGGACCTACTTGAGGATGGGCTTCTTGTTTTGCAATTAATAACTGTGCAAGTCGGCATTTTTAACACTTTTAGTGGCGTGTTTCTCGTACTTACAGCGCGCGCGTTCGTGAATGACTATACATCGCGATCGCGTGGTGAAGTCACGATCCTGTAGATTTGTCCAGGATTGTGGCTACACTGCCCACCTTAAAAATACCCACTTTAAAAATGACAGTACTAGTACTAGTGAAAGAAGTGTTCCCGCCACATTATAGACTTCTTAACAAATCCAGCTTATTTTTTCCCATTGTTCAAATAAAATTGTAATACTAAAGAAAATGTATAGTTGTGAAAACTATTTTGAAAATGTAAAATACCTACATATTATAATGTTATTATTAAATGTATTGTATTTGCTGAAAGATCTGTACCCATGGCAATGAATGAGTGATTATAAAAAAAAAACTGTTTGCTCTTTATCGTACCTCACAAACTGCTTGTGCTTGTCAAAAACTGACATTAATTTTTGATAGCGGACAGAATATTCCGGATTTCTCGTCAAAACGGTTAATTGTTGTTATCACAAGATTGTAAACTAAAACAATATTACTTTCAAACTACAAAATCTTGCAATTCTGTGAATTTATTTTACGAAATGGTAGACTACAGCAAATGGAAAGACATTGAGGTGAGCTTTATTGCATGAAAGTTTACTTGCACAAAACGAGTTCCATTTTACGTGGATGTAGTGGTAAAATAAATTAAGCTTCATATTTGAGTGTTAATACATTATTGTTTTCAGATTTCTGATGATGAAGATGAAACTCATCCAAATATTGATACACCCTCGCTCTTTCGATGGAGACATCAAGCTCGCGTCGATAGAATGGAAGAACGAAAACGCGAAAGAGAAGAGCACGAACAGAGAAAAACTGAAAATTTAAGACGTCTAGCGGAAACTAAGAAAAAAGTCGCTGAAACTGACACAAACAGCCCAAATTTAGAGTCACTTAAGAAAGAACTGGAACAGCTTGAAAAAGAAGAGAAACAATTACAAAAGAAAGATGAGGAATTGAAAAAGAAGGAAAAGTTAACACCGTGGAATGTTGATACTATAAGCGAACCAGGTTTCAACAAAACTGTCATCAACACGAAACCACTGCGATCAAATAACGACAACTTGACAGAGGAAGAAAAAGAAGAGAAAATGAAGCAGTTTATAGATGAAAATATGAAGTTGTTGAAACAGTTTGGGATGTTGAGGAAGTATGAAGATTCCAAGAAGTTTCTGCTAGACCATAGCCAGTTGGCATGTGAGGAGACTGCTAATTATTTAGTAATATGGTGCATCAACTTAGAAATGGAAGGGGTAAGACGTTTTGATTTTTAAAGTATTTCTCTTATATTCATATATCACATTTGAGTTTAGCACTAGACTGGTAATCTAACATTGGTTGCATTTACAACAATTGGATTAGAAGGCAAAATACTTCATGCCATTGATCAGAAAGGGTCTTTTAACAGCAAAGATGACAGGATTAGATGTATAGAAACATCTTTAGATGCAACATTTTATGAAATTTGTTAGATCACACAGTAAAACTATAGTTAAATTGTTGCATCAGAGCCTGTCTGACACGCATAACTATATATAGTTCCAACTAAGACTGGACTCATAACTTGAACCAAAGTGACTTTTCCATGCAACTCTTATCTCCTGTATACTGAATTTTGGTTCAAGTTACATACCTCATTAGAAAAAAACAATGATAACTGCTTAAAATTGAGATAATTGTCATACTTTATTTTGCAGAAACATGACTTGATGGCCCATGTTGCTCACCAGACTATCTGCATGCAGTATATTCTAGAACTGTCTAAACAGTTGGATGTGGATCCAAGAGCTTGTATAGGGTCATTCTTCTCTAGGTACATTAATTTATGTTATACCATAAACTTACGCTTATAAGTTACATATAGATGCTGGAAAGTAAAAACAGAATCTTCATAATATTTTTCTATTATCATTATTATATTAGAATTATTTTTTTGGAAAAAATATAAGTTTTTTCTGCTCTGAAGAACAATATCAGCTGTATGTGTTACTGTGTGTTTGCTTTCCACCATTGATATGTTGTTCTATAATGTATAAATTCAACAGTACTCTTATCTACACGATGATGATGATAATGATATTAAGTTAAATTTTTATTATTCTAAAATTTGAAAAGGTGATCAAGAAAGTAAACAAAATTGTAAAAGGCCTGTTTCTTGTTGACCGGGACACTCGTGTATTTCTGACCAAAGGTAAGATTAGAAAAAGGCAAAAGTAGATCAAATGCAATATCTCCAATAATATTTCAGGATTCAAGTTGCCGAGAAAACTTATAAAGACTCCTTTGATGATGAGCTTGAACAATTCAAAGCAAGGATAAAGCGACGTGCAGCTGAAAAAATCCAAGAAGCCCTTCGTGAACAAGAAGAGGAGGAAAGGAAGGCGAGACTAGGTCCTGGAGGCCTGGATCCTGTTGAAGTTTATGAAGAACTTCCTGATGTAAGTATAGAGTGCATGCATACATGTATATGCAAAATTATGTATATGATTACTTAGGAGTCTGATTAGGATTAAGCAACTGAGGCACAGAATTAATCATGCTTATAAAATTTATCCTCTTCATGTATAGCATCCAAGTTATATTGTTAGATCAAAACGATGTCATCAGAATGAGTTATGCAAAACTCATTCTGAAAGCCATTACCAAATGAATTGACTGTAGGAATGTCGGTAACAGGGTCTCAAAATTCAGGCACACTGATTTTGTTTCCTGTCATCACATGAATACATTACAATTGGGTGGACTTCCTTGCTATGACAGGACTATTGAAACAGAAATGATAAGTTAGTGACAAAATCTTGCCTAGCTAAGGCAAGTTTATATCTATTTTCTTCAATGCAAAAATGTATTTTAAGTACCCACTAAAGCAACAATATACTTTATCAAAAGAACTAAAATTCTCTTACCTGTATGTGTCTTATCTATATTTGAAACAAAATAATGTAATACAGGCAGTTCTCGAAATACGCGACGTAAAGCTAAACGACGTAAGTCGAGACATGTTTTCACACGGACTCAAAATAAACAAAAAACTACATTTATAACAAAGTATATACATACTTAATGATCAAAAGTATGTAATTCAACTTAAAATAATTGACGTATGCTTGAGGAAGTGTCAAAACATTGTTTGACGTAATTTGAAACGACGTAAGTCGAGGACTGCCTATACTCAAAAACAAATTCTTTAAATAATTACAGGAACTCAAGAAATGTTTTGATGCCCAAGATGTCCCCATGCTGCAAGCCACAATTGCTAAAATGCCAGAACAGGAAGCCATATACTATATGAAGAGGTGTGTTGATTCAGGACTCTGGGTCCCAGGCAAAAACGATGATGAAGAACCGACAATGAAAGAAGCAGACTCGACCACAAAGACTAATGCAAATTTGTCATCGAATGACACCACAGATGATGTAGACTGATTCTATACATAAATATCCAGTGCTGAATAGTATTACCATACATTGAACTGACTGCCTATACACCATTTGAGCAGAATAATTAGAATAAGCAATACGATTTTTTTTTACTATTTAAATTACTAACAGAAACAGCAAATAATCTATGGTATAGATAGACTATAATATTTGTTTATTTCATCTATTATACTATTATTGAAGTCGTGTTTGTGTTGTGTACAAAGCATATACAATAAAAAAAAATGAAAATATTTTTTATAGTAGTACAAGTGGTAAGTTAATTTTTGTTTTGAAACCAATAATTGTATTTACTACTTTCAGTTTAAATGTACAGAATAAAATTTATGACAAGGTCTTTTGTCATTTGAGAATTTCAAATATATCTTTAAAATTAACACTGGTTTTATTTAAAATAGAGTTTTTATTTTTTAAGGTTCGATGTATATTATATTTACATTTTAAAGGAATAATCAATCTTATTCTTGATTCAATCTGTATCACAGCAATAATATATGTTATTAGATCAATGGTGCAGTTCATGATGCTTTTAATAAATATTTTACGAGAAATAATGAAAACAATATATTTTAGGAATCAACAGGGCCAAGACTGGCGGGTGGGCTTTAGAACAATAAGATTTCTTTTATTCTCTTCAACTGAACAGCTAAATTTAAACCACCCACAGTTTGCTGTAATCACAACAAGTCAAAATATGCACATACCCTAAATCAAAAATTCTTTCGCTTTTTCCAATTTCTCCTCGTAATTATGCTTTTTTTGACAATTAATAAATAGGCGAGTTACTTTGGAGCAGTGAAACATTGAACACAATAAATTACAATGGGCCAAGAATTAATTTCAAAATCATACAGGGTAGCACTGTAAAATAGGGAAGTTGTACAATAATTAATTTAATTAGCATTTTATGTGCAATTGCCCATCTCTTTACCGGGCGCATTGCATATATTTTATAGCGCTTTGAGATATGGGCAGTCTTTTTTACACCCATACTTACGATTTGACTGAGAACTTAATGCCAACATTTAGCTTTTCTGTTTAGATGTCACTAAATTTGTTCGTTGAATTATTTTACTTTGAAGAAAGGCTTTAAAACGTCAAATCAATCTGAAATCAGTCAGTATGTATATCCGCTTAGGTGGTGAAATAAAAGTGTTTATTTTTTTTAAACTTGTACTTTTTATATAACAAAACTACATTAGGTGTGTGAGAGCGCTACGTGAGCACGTGCGGCGGCAGCTGGGGCCGCCCCTCCAGCTTGCTGTAGTCCAGGTGGAATTCTTTCGCCACCTGCAAACATTAAATGTCATACACAACCTTAATCAAAATCTGGCAGTATAGCTAAGTCCCTTCGCCTGTCCCAATGGACGAAATATACTAGTACTAGTAGACATTACGTGCCAATAAATATGAATTATCATGGTATACACCGATTATATATAACTATTTTTAAATGAGTATTATATTTTTGACGATCTCTGTAGCAGAGTGGTCAGCACACCGCTTTCAAGATGTCTCTAATGTAGAAAATGTACTTTTTTATATCCCTGGTCTGGATGTAATGATTTTCGATACTTTAGAATCTAAACAATGTATGTGATGTTGTTTAATATTTATTTATTGATATATATGAAGGCAACTCATTGGCGTAATGGTAAGAGCGTTCGGCCTGTGATCTGAATTTTAAACAACTTTTCCAAAGCCGGTTATAGAATAGGTGACCAAAAGTTTACTATTTCGAACTCTCCGTACTTCGGAGGGCACGTTATTTGGTCACGGGAACATGTGCAGTTATTAGCAAGCACCAATCTGCAATGGGTTATTGTACTATGGCCCATTCTCCGTTTCTTTCCACAGGAAAGTGCATCTTCACCAGCAGTAGGGGAATTAAATAGAATTACGGTGAAAAATAATATTGATATACTACCTTGCGCCAATTGTGCGCGTCAAAGAAGTAATAAGTCCCTCGTTCGTATGTGGAAGTCTTCTCTACCATTGGCATGCCCGGCGCTTGAGAGATCCACACCTTCTCCTCCATGTGATACCGCCATTCGCGATTATACCTATTACATAATTAATATTTGTATATAAATATAACAGATCTAACTGTATATCAGATACCATAGTCACAAATAAGAATATGCGTCTGATTCAGAAAAGGATTAAATATATTATATTACCCTATTGTCATTCCACATCAAAAATACTGATGCTAATAATATCAACATATTGATTGTTAAACGTTACATAAATGATATTTATGAGCGTGTTGTGTTCTTCTTTTTAATTAATGGCGTTGCCCTTGTGAATTTCGCCAAAATCCAGTGTATCGCTCAGATTACTTCTTATTTTAGTATTTTGTAAACTCTGCTTTTTGTATGTTGGTAGTGAAAGCCCAAGTAGAAGTTCTTCTAACTTAGATCTTAAACGTCGGAATTCTTGACGCACTTGTGATGACAGTCTACGACCAGTAGGGATATGACATTTTATCGGCTTAAGATAATAAATTGAAAATTATGTAACCGATTTTTCTTGAAAATATAATATTGTTTTTACTAATGTATTTTTTAAATAAAAATACATGCCTAACACTCACTTTCTGAATTGAGTATTAAAATTTAAGTATGTCTCAAACTGTACTTAAACGTCACTCAAATAGGTTTTCATTTCTGATTTTAGTTTTTTTAATATAGTCATTTGATAGCAGTTTGATAAAAACTAGGCCTTTATTGCCTCATGAAAAAATTTAGAATAATCAGTCAAGATTTTGTACTTTTCTCAATTCAAAAACCATATCCAAGAGAGGTAATTAATTACTTAAAAAAATAACATAAGGAGATATTATGTTAATATTGGTAGCAATAGAAGAGAAATTGAATGAAATAAGAGCTGTGAATAGCTAATAATAATAGTATTCTTACTAATATTATTTTTCTACATAAAATATATATCTTTATGTATCATTGAAATCCTGAAACAAACTTTTTCATCACATCCATCATCATCAACCCTTTTACGTTCCCACTGCAGGGGCTCAGGCCTTCCTTATGGATGGTTAAGGAGGATGGGCCATGACCCTCCACGCTGGCCCAATGCGGATTGGAGGGTATATCATCACATCCGCTAGGATAAATAGCAATAAAAACAAACTTAAAAATTTTTTGATACAGACGCATATTCCCTATTGTTAAATAGAACAATAGTATATAGATATATTCATTTCAAAATCACCATAATGTCGCATTACTATCTATACACTGTTGCTATATTGAATAAACTACTTTTCATACTTACAGCTCAGCGGCAGCTGCGATTTGTAGGACGTCGCCAACGAAACAGTAGAACAAATAAAACAATAAATCTTCCTTATATCGATTCAGTCGTAGAGGCGCCAACTTTTCTCTAATAGAGCCGTTTATCAGATATTCAGGAGGCACGTGATAATCCATATCTTGCGGTCTGAAAACAAAAAGGAACAATCAATATATATTAGCTCGGTGGTGTAGTAGATAAGTGCCGTGGCCCTCGATCGTTGTTGTTAAGCAAATATCACAAGGGTTACAGGATGGGTGACCAAAATATTATTATCTCGAGCTACTCCGTGCTTCAGAAGACTCGTTAAGCCGTTGATCCCAGCTGCATTTGCGGTCGTTAATACCCTCCAATCCGCATTGGGCCAGCATGGAGGGCACAGCCCATTTTCCTTAAACATCCATAAGGATTATATATTATGTATTTATATAAAAGGTGACTGACATATCTATGCACAGCTCAAATTACTGGATGGACATATGGACTAAAGCTATGTCTACACCAATCCACTTTCCCTTCTGTCTTCTGTTTTCCTCTAACGTATGCTTTAGCATGTGACAACGTGTGTAAGTGTAGACTGAAGTGTTGTGTTATTCTCAGTATGTACATATTACCATTTCACGCGTTGTTGATAATTATGAGTGTAATACAATGAGGGCAAAACGTTTTAATTTGCCTCTAAACGCGCTAGTGTGCGTGTGCGTAAGGTCCTAAAAGTTTCAAATATCATACTTTGTCGGTAAACTACGCGCGTTTCCTTTACTGTATATACTAAATAAACGAATTTTACACTTATTTTGAGGTACCTGAGATTTATTAAAGCTACTATAAATTATGGGTCTATCAGCTGCACAAATGTCCATTAAGACTGTCTATAATTTAAAGCGACATTACCCATACAAATATGACATTCATTAGAGCTTAAAGGCGTTATTAAACTTTAATGGACGTTTGTGCAACAGACCATAAGAAAGTCGGGTGCTTTAAATGAAGCTAAGAAAGAGTAGTAAGCATAATTAAGCGAGACCAAAGAAGAACGAAAATCAGAGGTGAGCGTTTATTAGTCATGTTCGAATTTTTTTTAATAAAAAATGGTTTATTTATGCATTATGATGTATTATTTAAGTTAAACCAATAGTAAACAAATTTTTATAGGACCTCTCGCTACTGTCGCGTCATCTGGTAAGTGAAAATAGGGTAGCCCCATCAAGTGATCATGACAATTAAAAAAAATGGTGGGACTGCCCCACAAAGGGTTCCGTACCGGAAACGAGCACAAAAACACGTTTGTTGTATGGGAGCCCCTTTAAATATTTATTCTATACTGATTTTAAGTATGTGTTGTCAAAATGGCAACAGAAATACATCATCTGTGAATTTTTCAACTGTCCAACTTTCGCGGTTCATGAGATACAGCCTGCCGACAGACAGACAGACAGCGAAGTCTTAGTAATAGGATCCCCAGTTTACCCTTTGTGTACAAAAAAAAGCCTAATTATAAAATCCTTACCTACAGGGCGTGTCCGCCCATGGTCCAGCGAAGGTGAGATACAAGTTGTCCGGCGAGTTAAGATTTAACCCGAGCGCGGTCAAATCCTGACCCAAAGCCAGCGATACTAAACTGGGATCAGATTCCGCGGCTCGTATGAACGTCAACAGGCCGACTATACCGAACTGGTTCGGTATCATTGTCTCTGGTATATTCGTTACTTTGCCTAAAACATATAGTGAGATAAACGGACAGTCATAAGAGACTATTTTAATAACACAGGTGTATACGTACTATATATATATATATTAAAGTTGCTTCCAGTCTGATTAAGATCACTACTGAAAATTCGTTTGACAAGTATTCCATACAGAGAAAAGAACATATAAAAAAAATCTATGATTAAAACAATTACACTGAGCCAGATATTGGCGACATACAAAAGTACTACGCCATTATATTGTAGAAACTAAATAACAGACTACAATGCAAGTATTAAGTTTAATTAAATAAAATATTTAAATAGTTTACTGACATATGAACAATTAAAATTTCGTTTGCCAGACAAGGATACTATTGTGCTACACTTGTCACGACAAAATCTATCGAATCATAAGCACCGCACTAGTTGCAAGAACAAGGAAAAAGTTTTTAACACTACCACAAAATTGACACATTGAGCAACTCTAATAAGTTGTATCTATAGTTGAGAAAAGTTATTTATTTATTGAGAAAATGTCATAACTTAAACAATAGATGAGAATTTTAATAAAGTAAGAACTTAATAGTATTCTAACCTATTAATAATACTTACTTCATTCAAATTCTAGTTTATTTTGTAGAAAAGTCTGCAGTCGGCTATAGATACAAGTGTCAGATCTTCTTTTAACCATACAGAAGACTTGTCATACGATTTATTCAGTGTACACACAATTGGACACTATTGTCGTGATATACAGACGATAACACATCAATTTATCCAAAACCGAAGTGATATAATCGATATTAATTCGATATCAATCGATTGATTCAAAGTATTTAAAAAAAACGAAAGCACTAAAAAAGCCTCTCCACTAGATGGCGACTCTAGCAAAATTGATTTTTGCAGGAACCGAATGGACCAAAGCAGGCATTCCCGTTCCTTTTAACTAACAAAAAAAACGGAAATTTCAAAAGTTCGATACTTAGGATATGTATACACAAATACGAAAAAGTACAAATAGAATATGAGTTGTTTATTGAGTTTTGAAAACTAATTTACTTTTAAACCTGAAAGAAAACCGGAAGGGTTGTCATGGAGAAATCAAGAACGTACCGTAGCGACATCTAGTTTAATTTCGGGAACTTTTTTTAAATACTTCCTCATTTAAGTGATTAACCTTTCCTTTACCGCGGTCATAAATCGGCGCCTCAGCACCGAATACCGTTATCGGTAATCTGACACCGGCACTTGAGCCACTTGACGCCTTTAAATTGCTCTCTCGCCGGCTAATGTAAACACACAGCGATAATAGTTATAGTTCTATGAAGCTTATGAATCACCCAAACAACTTAAAGTCATTTGATACTTTTATGATGAGTGATAAATTTATTATCGTCGTGTGAGCGAGCATTGTTCGCACGAAAGTAAATATCTGGCGGCGGTTGGAAATTAAAAGGTGTGTAATCGATAATTAAAATAATAAACATAAATAATTATATATATTTTTAATTATCAATATATAACCAATATAATCGAAGTATAAAAGACGTATGTTTCTAAAGTAAAAAATCAATAATCACGCGTTTGAAAGTAGCATACTTTCTTTCGCGCCATTTTTTCTCCTGATCTTGACACGATTTTGATATTTTGTTTGTGAAAGTATTATAACACTTACATTGTTCCTGTTTTTCTTGTTATATAGATAGATTACTGAAAAAAGACATTTATATTTTTATTCTTCATTTTTTATAAAAGTATATTTTATAGAAAGCATATTTACGATACTCTACAGAAATCGCGAATTCGTATTACAGCTAACTTTACCTAATACACGATAAAAAAATTAACTATCTTCTTACATATCTATATAGTGTAAAAAGAAACCTTTTCAATGATATATAACACATAATATAATACTGAATAAAAAAGTTTCACGTGCATACCGATCTAGGTCGTCAGTAGTAATGTAGTTCAAGGTTATTCTTATAGACGATAAACGCGAATCGGTAACCGATAATGAACTCTATTACGATGCACTAACGGCGTTTATTGTTTGTATGTTTCTGATTTGATGTCTGTTGATTTTGAAATTTCTTTACGAAATAAATAAATGAAAATGGAAATATTATATGCTAAAAATTATTTCTCGACAAATGACCTTTGTAATGATGTATGAATGTTATGATTTTTATTTGTAATATGTAGGTAAAAACGAATTTTTGCCGCGGATTACGTCATGCATATTTTTTAGTCTTTTACGAAAGAAAGTTATCTGAATTCAAAAACTATATACAAAAACGGATTCTTTGTGAAATTATCTTTATACTTATATGCGATTATTATAGATTTTTATGGTTTTATCATATAATATGAACGTTAAAAAAAAAGAGTTCGCGCGCTTTTAGACCTACGCCACTGTGAGACTCGATTTATCGAAAATACGTAATGAAAACACTTTTGGATAAGTTTATAGCAAAAGAAACATTCTAAAATAGTAATAATATAACATTTTACTTACATTTATTACAATAAATTTCCAGAATCACTGAATTACCGGCACTTTAACAACGACAGGTCAGTCACGTACCAAGGGATTCGCGCCATTGGCTAACGGTCGGTTTTAATTATTTTTTTTGTCTTTCGTTTAAAGAGTGAGTCTAGTTTAAGAATTTAAATGAATAGGTCATGTTTCACTCTATTGAGAAAAAAAATTACCATACGTATTCTACACTTATTTTAATTGTAATAAAGGTTTTTCTAGACCTCTGACCGCGCGCTTGTATACAAGCGCATGGTAAACGGAGCACTTTTTTTTAGCGCTTGCATGCAAGCGCGTGGTAAAGGAAGGGTTAAAGGTAGTTTCAAATCTAGTCTAAAGATCTTTCGTATTAACTTAATGTGTTGTCGACTCTATATGAGCGCGACTAACAAGCGACTTTAACATATCACGATCTTGTTACATTGAATACACACCATAATATTCCGTATGTGCTCCTTGATTGATAACTTGGGGGAAGAAAAAATTCAAGTCAGACAATATAGCATTTATAACAGTAAATAAACTAACTACTGTTTACATTAATTTAAATTGTATTTTAAGATTATATATAAACACGATTTCTATGCAACAAAAGTGATGAAAAAACTAGAAAAATACTCATAAAAAATAAAATCAGGAACATTAAGCACATTATGGAGTATAGAAAATTAATAGAACCTAATATCAAATGAAAACCAAACCTAATACATTCAAATTGACACATGTTAAGAACAGTAAAATTTTACTTTGTTTAGTTTCAAAAGAGAAACCTGATGGGTTTCTCTTTTGAAACTAAATTTATTGAAATTAATTAGTTAGAATCCGTTAGAATAGTTTTGAAAAAAATTGAAATTAATTAGATTCCGTTAGAATAGTTTTGGACTGTAATAACAAAACGATGTAATTGTTTTTCTAAAAGTTGTTAATTTGAGTTGTAATATTTAGTAAATAAGATATGTATTAGATTTTATTATATTTTCAACTCAATAATGTTTTATGTTAAATCACGTGATGTAAAACGTCAGTCACGGTACGTGACGTCATAACTCATTATAGCTTTCAGGGTTACCAAAACAATCTGATCAAATTATACATATTTTGAATTCAAATAAAAATAACTGGACAAAAACAAAATGTATTAACAAACTCTGTGTTGATATGAAAAAAGCAGAAATATGCATTATAATCTATTTCACATAGCATGGGCGCAATAACGTTTGTTAACAAATTCATTATAAAAAAATTCTTCGCTGTGTTTATATTAGGTGTTTATTTAAATTTTCATATAAAAGCACAAACATTTTATTATATTTGATCAATTGTGCATTCACAATGGTATACTGAAAAATATTCTTAGTGAGAAATGCTTTAAAAATCCACTTTGTCCCTGGCACTCTGAGATTGCCTGAACATTGATGATAATTGCTGTATAGTAGCGAAAAAAGTGCTTGAAAAATTCGTCAGTCCTGTTAAGCCCTGGGTAACTCAGGGTACTGAAATCTAATTCACTTCCTCTTTGCAACATAATGGAATCTCTACTAATTATTAATTTAAGTGAAGAATTAAATGATTTTTCTGACTATTATTATATTTTTTTAATAAGTATTTTTTTTATATTGCCCTCAAAATCGAGTATCTCTATTAGAAATTAACTTTTTTAACTAAAAACTTAAAATCACAAAGTCACCATAGCGATGCTATGTGAAACGGACTATGTGCTATGGACGGAAAAATTCCCAGACAGCTAAATCAAGAAATCAAGAATATTGACTTGGGTCTCAATTGTCTCAGATACCCCATAAAAGGCTTTAGCTACTCAATTTGGAATCTGAGTAACGTAGTATGTGATGTAGTCTTATAAAAAAAATTTGTGGCAAAACCTCGGGGCAAAGTGGATATTTTAAGCATTTTCCATTAAGAATATATTCCAATATAGCATTGTGAATACAAAATTTACCAAATTATAATATTATTTCGACTATTTGGGTGGACTGTCTGAACACTGATAAAAATACGCTGGTTAGTAGCGAAAAAGAAAAGTGCTTGAAAGATTCGTCAGCCCTGCCAAGTCCTGGATAGCTCAATGGTTAGAAGAATCACCCGGAAAGTCCTGGATAGCTCAATCACCCGTATTGCGAAAAGTCGTGGGTTCAAATCCCATCTCAGAGTACTTCGGGACAAAGGGGATTTTTTAAGCTTTATTAATTAAGAATATTTTCCAATATTGAATTATGAATGCAAATTTGATCAAATATAATTTAACGGTACTGACCATCGGGCTCGGTCTGTATGCCTTTCCTGGGTTTGTCCTGGGCTAGCGCGTGCGCGGGGTGTGCGGGATGCGCGGGGTGTGCGGTGTATTCCGCGTGGGGGTGGTGCGCGGGGCCGGGGGGGCCGACCGCCGCCCCCCCCGTGCTGGACGTGCCCGGCAACGCGGGGAAGTCCTCTGACGACATCGTGAACTCGGACTGCTCGGACGTCGGCTGCTTCACCATACCCACTGGAAACCACACTTGGAACTATAGCCTGTTTCGCATAGCATGGATACAGTGGCGTTTGTGAACAAATCCATTTCCACGCATTTTGTATTTCCAAATAATTAAAAATTATCCTTATAAAAAATAGTTTGTGTATATTTATATTAGAAATTTATTAAAATTTGCATAATAAAACATGAATATTATTTTAATAACCATAATAGGGATGATGACTAATTTTTGTTTGTTTGTCCGTCAGGTAGAGTTTAAAAAAATATTAAACACGTATTTTCTTATTTTTTTCGTTATCATAAAATTACGGCATTACATTGAGTTGAAATTTCGCATGACGTCACGTTAGAGTACGTTTTCTACTCAACTGTGACGTAGCGAGCCCCCACTCCTCAACTTTAATACCTTTTATCTAAGCTATTTCTTGTTAAATTGAAGTAAAAAAAAAAGTATCTAATATTTTTCTATTATCTGACTGACGGACTAAATAGAATTGCATTTTTTTTACCCAGTCATCATCCCTATTACTGAAATCTGACCCTCTAATATTTAACACATCAAAACTTATAACGAAAAAAGGAACTTTATTTATAAAATTATTTTAATTGTATTCGGTGATAATTACTCAAATTTTTATTTGTTTTCGTAACAATTAAACTTAACTATAACAAAAAAAAATTGACTCGGGTTCATCATGTTGATGAACAAATATTTTTCTTAAAATCCTGTTTAATACATTGATTTCAAAATCAATTATCTCTATGTTTACATCAGTAAAAACTCTTAACTTCACCGTACCCATGCTATGTGAAAAAAACTATAGTACACATTGAAAGTCCAGCGTTGCGTTGAACGCGCGCTGATGATACATAAGTAGCAACAACGCGTCAAGCGATGTAGTACTAGACGGACATACCCGCGGGACTACTGCAGGTTGCTTTGGAAGACACATTAAGTCATTGATCTTGGCTGCACTCGCACAGTGGTTAACATCCACCAAACTACACTGGGCTCGTGTCACCACTCGTCAAGAATCTCTTTATTCTACCCTATATATAGTGAATACCTGTTCCCCGGCAGTAGTGACCGATGATAATAGTGATTATAGACCTTAAGACAATTACCGTAAGGTTTAGAGCCAGGTGGCGGCGGCGCGGCGGCGGGCGCTTGATCGCCGGCCCCGCGCGCCGTTAACGATGGAAATTCGCTTAGATCTAATAGAGGAGGCGTCGACGTGTCACCGCCCTCGCCAAACACAGAATGGTAATTATTGCCGGCGTTAAACCTCGTCAAGTTGCCCATACTAGACTGCAACAATTATACACACAATATTTAATGAAAAAAAACCGCTCAAAAATTAGTACACGACAAACGTACAGGGATTGCAGTCTCCATAAAGTTTGCGATCGCAATCTCACCCAATTCGGTCATTAACTTAGAGCGATCGTAATTTAACGATTATTTTTAATCTAAACTCAGTTAAGTATACTGTTATTTTTTAGGCACGTACCCGTACGTTTTCTAGCGATCAAGCTTTACAGCTCGGTCAGTAAACTTTGCGATCGCAACTTAACGATCGTTATCAATGCCGAGACTGCACGTGCAGGACTTGGGAACAGTTTTAAATACCGATTAATAAAGATTGCCACGTTTTTTTATAAATGTTCCCTCAGAGCAGAAACGTTTCTCTAAAATTATAATCTAACCCAAAATTCCTTTTCCGTTATTTTCTTTCATCTGTAATAAGATACAAAGTTGGTTATAGTCCGAGAGGTATCTTTGGCAGCTAAAGTTAATATTGTATTGGTAATATTGATATTGTTGCTACTCGTTTCCTTTAGCGAGAACGTATCTATTGTCTAATAGTGTTCGCGGTAGGCGATTTTCGTGTCGCTCTTGTAATCTTTGTTTACAAATCCGAAGAAACACGAGAGCTCTATGTACCCATATAAAATGACGTAAGTACCTGCTAACGCATCAAATGTTGGAATATACAGACTAAGATAATAAAGAAAAAGGTATCTGTCTATTAAATATTCCTACTTACGATTACCAGAGGTTAATGACCAACTTTTTCGATATGTTACGCTCAAAGATAGAAATCGTTCATTGAGCGAAAAATAGTTCACAACGCGTTGTGGTCACAATAAAATATCCACATAGCGAAATCCGTGTTATGGCACTAATGGAAACGCTCACGATACTCACGATACGTTGTGGCATGCACAGAATAACCATATAGCGTGATCATTGTCGTTGACAACACGTTGAGAACTATTTTTCGCTCAATGTCGATTTCGATCTTTAAGCGTAACAGATATACCCACCATTTATTTTATATAAAAAATAGTATCATATAGGTCACACTTTAATTACCTTAAGATTAAATCAAAATTTACACTTTTTTATACCCAAGGAAATGCTGTCCATCATATTCATGACGTCATTGTGATATGTACACAAAACAGATGCATAGAGTAGAAGATTAAAAGATGTCAATAAAACAAGAACAATGCCATCTAACGATCGATTATGAGATAAAAAGATATGAGCTAAGAACAACGCCATCTAAGAATTCGATTTAAATTAATAGGCATATTTTTATGACTAATTTGACAGCTGTCGCCACAGTGACGTCACACCATTTGTCGTCTCGTGTTTCAAGTCACATGAAACAGATAATAAATAAGAAATTTAAATTTTAAAATAATGAGATAATAACTAAGACTCAAAATTAGTATCTGCTTAATACGGTGTAAATTTTAGTTTTTGTGCAATTTCGTGACTTATTTTTCTCTACCGAAACTACCGAAATTCTTTCACCTACGGGAAGCTACTTCATACTCGGGTAACATAGGCTATAAGTTACGTGGTAAAGTCTTTATATGAGGGCATACAGTGGCGTCGTATAAAATTACGAAACTAATTTCTTTCGTGGATAGCCACAAATCTGTTGATGAAACGATTTCGATAAGTGCCGTAAAAAGAAAAGTAATACACTTAAATTGCGTACACGCCTTATTTATTACATACGCGTTTTTTACAATAAAACAAAAATTACAAATCCGAACTGCACCGTGCATTATTATAGGTATTTTGAAGACGTAATTTTCTGTAGGATCGTGACGAAGTTTATTATACGCTGCAAAGTTCTTTACTTTTCCATAGCTAAAAGAAGACTTGGACAAGCGATTGAATAAAGAATTTGAACACAGAGAATTTTGGCTTACGACTTTCAGACTGAAAACATTAACGCTTGGAATAATAAGCAATGACTAGATTCACAGCGAATTTATACATTATTTAAAATAACCAGTCTGCAAAATTCAGTTAAATATTATATTCTTTTGCAACTACAAAGAAAATCCATAACAAAATCACCGAATAAGGCCTTAACAGTAACGTACAAAAGTCTCTTTAGGGTTCAAGATAAAATTCTCACCATGGAATTGGAATTTGGTTGCGATAGCGTCGTAGGCATGGGCACTCTCCGTTCCGTAAACGCTCGTTGTCCGAACAGTGTTGACCTAGAGGCCATAGAGGGCGGGGCGCCTCCGGGCATCACCGAGGAGCCCCGGCCCGGTGATAGGGCGCCGCCGAACGTGGGCGTCACATGCCCGGAGACGCCGGATACCAGTCCGCGCGCACCGACCCCGCCACTTGCTAAGCTTCTAGGCGCTTGCTGGAAATTCAAGTTTGCCATAACCTGGAATGAACATATGGCGTGTTAATAACTCCGTCTATAATTTGCACAATCAACAGCATATCAGCGGTTCTGCATACCATACAAATAGATTTAAACCTGCACGCGTAGCATGACGTACTCGAGAAATGTTTTCATAAACACCATGCTCTTAAAAGTATGTTCATGAAGAATTATGGATAACATGTGGATACATCGCGGATACAGCTGGGCCCAACGGCTGTACGTGCCTTCTGAAGCACGGAGGAGTTCGAGACAATCAGTTTATGGTCACAAATCCCATGAACTATCGTAACGTAACTTGCTTAACTTTTGCATCGCAGACCGAACCAATAACTAACCACTGCGCTATCGAACGCAAGAGTAATTTCTTAATGAAAAAATCTTTAAAAAAAATCTATGCTCAAATGTCACTTTTCTATGGTGCACCCATACAATATATCACTCTCAACCAGTCTTTCGAGTTCGCCACCCTACGCGTGCTGGCATCAATTTGCTATTAAACTCAGGCTTAGTGAATGTTAATATAATATTATTTGTTATTTTGTGATCTAGTAACACAATATGTGGTAAAAAAAATGTTGGAACGCCATTAACATACTATAATTACACTGACATTAGCAATTTAGTCACTGGAGAATTTAACAAATAGATACCAGCACGTGTAGCATGACAAACTCGAGAAACGCTTTGTCTACACCCAAATGTCATTTTCTCGGGTCGAGAGTGAGATGTTGTATGAGCGCACCCGAGAAAAGTGACATTTGAGTGGACAAGACTTATTTGAAGTGACCTCATAAGTGAGAAGAAATCATTTAAAAATTTAATGATTATTACTAATAAACTAAATAATGAACATATGTTCTGACTAGTACTGAATATATTACTATAAATGGCTATAATAATAAAAGTTGTGTGACATGAAATTAATTGCTTAATTCATTTTGAAATAACATTACTTACATCATTTTATGATTCTTATATGTGAAATTCATGCAAATGTAATATTTTATAATGATAATACATTGAACTACACAACTTGAATTTTCAAACAAATAAATATTGTTATATACTATGTATATTATATTTACACATTTATCAAAACTGGCCTTCATACAATTTCAGCAACAGAATAAATCAAATTAACTGATATTGTTTTTCCAAGATAATAACTAGAAAAAATATTTTCTTATCATAAAGTAAAAATTATGTTACCAAGTCTGTCAAATAAGAAGAATGGATGATATATACAAAATAAAATTATTTGTAAGAACACAGTTAAAAGTCGACCAATACAAAATTCATGCCAAACAAAAAATATATGAACAACAGCTTTGGCATTTTACCAAAATAAAAACATATAAACATAACAGTACAATTTTTAATCATTGATAAATTGTATATTTCTTGGCATGAATAAAGAGTTATTATTTTTTTCTCAATCTCAATATTATCTTTGACAATTACGAACTTCCATACAAACTTTAAATCCCTATTTCGACCCTTTTATCACAATAAAAAGCAACCTATGACCTAATACACTTTGAGCAACATCTTTGCTAAGTATCGGACATATTTAATTAATGAAGGACTAATACTCTATTGTTAAAAATAGGTTCCTTATAACCCATCATTTTATTGTAATATTTAAAAGCAAATAATACTTATTATGGGTTATCCTTGGAAGATAAATATACCTTTGCAGACTTTTTTGTACATTTATTAAAGAGGCATAACCCACCTTACATTGTTTTGTTGTAACTCAAAAGGTTTTGGCAGGGTTATCTAGAAAAGCTCCTGATCTGCTTAATATTTTCCAACATGCTGAACTAATATCATCAGTTTGCATAAAACCTTAATTTATTATACACTAAAATCTTACTCAGGGATCACTCTCCATGTTATTGAAAACTGTATGAAAATTCATCCAGTACTTTTCAGAGTCTTTCACAAACAGATAGACGCAGGGGGGACTTTGTTTTATAGAATGTTTGTTGATATACAAAATAAGTTCACATAAATGTATTAGACATTTCTGTATCCAACTTAGCATATTTAAAATCAATTGTGTCCACAAGCCAGCAACTGCTAAAATAATTTGTTAACTATTTAAAAACTCTTTTTCAGGTGTAAAAACAAGTTGTGAATATTATTATAATATGCAAACAATATGTACTGGTATTGACAGAGAAATTTAGTATTCTCTTTATGTATTTACATGTACTTTTATAGACCAAATCCATTACAAAGACATTCTATTGAAATGTCTTTATTTATTTTCTTTACCATATCTTTCTTCTATTCATATATGAATGCACGCCTTCATTTTAACAAATAAATACAATCTAGGAAATGTTCTGAAGTAAAATTGGTAGTTTGTTCACATTTCAAAACAATATTTATAAGAGGTTGTGAATATACAATTATATTCTTTTTTCAGTATTGCTATGGGCAATGGATACAATGGAATGAGCCGAGAATAAACATACTTATTTAATTATGGATTTGTTCAATTATTTTGTTATTTTTTAATACAAAAAATAATAATGTTTTTAATGAACTAAATTTGAAAAATACCACATGTCACGAATTTACAATAAAATTAATATATACTAACATTTCTTATACCCAAGTAAGAGCTTTCTCAAATATCTTCTAGCTTCGCAATCTATACACAATTTCTCAAACTCTTGATTGGTCATTGATATCTTGCAAACCGTCTCAGAAGACATATATGCTACCTGAATAATAAACTTGTTATTCTGAATTATCAAAATTTGATATCATACTTTCCGGTGGCATTATTTAATTATAACTTAGATAAACATATTCAATTATTAACTAAAGTTGTGACAGCTGTTTCTAGAGCAATTAAAGCAGTCTTCTAAATTTCTCCATGATGTAGAACTAAATTAGTTATACTTTCTGTTTGAATAAGAACTCCAAAATATAATAGTTTTCATAGTACCAACGTCATACAATTACAGATCGAGCATAAACAAATGCGTATAATAGTGATAAGCTTGATATCAGTTACTATAATAACAAAATAGGTACATTGAGCATCTTGAAGATACCTACTTCATTGTATCATTTTTACGATGGATAATCATCCACTGTCAAACAATGGCGACCCTGATGTTATACATTTGACTAACTTTCTGCACCAATCATACATATTTACCTAATGTGTTGACGTCAGTCCTAGATCCACTATTTCAAGACACGTATGGATGGTTCATAATCGAGTATTCCCAACTGAAACTGTAAATCCACTCTATTGAAATAAACAAAAGTTTGTTGACTGTTCAATTTAGAAGACGATCTAGATGCTTTCAAATTTTTCAACACTAATTAAAACATTCAAATGAACGTCTCTGTCATCAAACACTGCTATAAAACGCAAAAGACTTTATACATCTTTACGTCACTAATAAATATTGTAACAATTTCACTCGGTTTTGTCGAACGCCACATTACCCTAAACAACTGGCGGCCATATTGTTAAAAGCGGAAGTTTGCAATTACATCAAATACAGAACAAATAATTTTGAAAAATTATTTATATGAATATAAATTTATGGTTAATATTTATGAATTTATAAACATTATCATTTATTTATATTATGTGTTCAAATATTTTTTAAACGTAAATATATTTATTGTTGTCTTTATAAAGAATAGATATGACTATTCAGAAAATGTGTGTTATAAAGATGAAAATAAATTGCCATACTACTCTACCCACAGAATTAATAGTAAGTTTTTTTATAAAATTTTATTTTTCAGTAACAGAACATCAAATAATCCTTTTTATTTATTCTCAAATAATTAAGTTATACACTCACAGAGTCAGGCTGCTGTAGATATTGCTGCTGTGGAGGTTGTTGCTGTGGATGTTGTTCTTGTGGGTGTTGTTCCTGTGGTCGTTGCTGCAGTGGATATTGCTGCTGTGGATGTTGCTGCTGTGGATGTTGCTGCTGTGGGTGTTGCTGTTGTGGATGTTGCTGTTGTGGATGTTGCTGCTGTGGATGTTGCTGCTGTGGATGTTGCTGCTGTAGATGTTGCTGCTGTGGATGTTGGTGCTGTGGATGTTGCTGCTGTGGACGTTGCTGTTGTAGATGTTGCTGCTGTGGATGCTGCTGCTGCGGACGTTGCTGCTGTGGAGGTTGCTGTTGTGGATATTGCTGTTGTGGTTGTTGATGATGTTGTTGGTTTTGATGATGAGGTTGCTGTCGATTTTGGTAATAAAAGGGCTGTTGTCTTCGTTGAGGACTTTGGTGATGAGGTAGTTGTTGATTGTTAGGATATAATTGCTGTGGATGTTGAAAACGAGGTTGCTGTGGACTTTGATTATAATGCTGCTGTTGATGGCGAGGATGCTGTTGTGGGTGAACTGGAGGGGGGCGTGGGGCTTGAAGTGGATTAGGATTTGGGTTTGGGGGATTATTTCTGTTATTTAATCTTCTTCTCATATTTTACACATACACATTCTTTATAATATTATTTAATTTTGCTATCACAATGCAATATTGATAAGAATATTTGTATTTTTTTCCATAAATTAAAATTAAATACTAGCCTACAAATTATGAACTGACATATTAATTTTATTTTATATATACCCACATTTTATTAATGTTCTGCGTTTTGTTCTAACATAAACGTATTTTATCTTAAATTATTAAACGAACTGTTGACAATGTTAGTTTATAGAAATTGATAAAACCTAAAATATGTAGAAACTACTTTTCTTTTTATTTATTTTATAGTTCTGTTCGTTTTATATTGTTTTCCAATGTAATCCCTATTCCTTTCTGAGTATTATTATTGCATACAATAGGCTTGTGTCCTACGTGCGAAAATACAGGTTTCTGTTATGTTCAGAAAATATGAACCATTTTAACTTGTAAATATTGTAACACTAATGCTTTGAATTTGTAGGGAGCTTTTTCAGCCGACTAGCAACATTTCCACAAACATAGCACCGTATCTCCGAAACTATGAATTACATACATGCTGTTACTTCTACATTATCGCTCAAATATTGATTAACACTTTATATATAAAATAAAAAAGTTTTCAACTAGCCTACTGTATAGTCGACTTCCTCTTTTTTAGCGAAGTCTTCTACATCTTTGTCAAAAACAACCACGACATCTTCAGTGTTCAAAAATGAATTCCATTAAGTTTATATTTTATTCAATATAAAAAAAAAACTTATTTAATTAATGTATAAAACAAAATCAATAAGAGTATTATACACTGAGATCTTTCGAATTACACAACAGATTTAATACGGTTTTCATCAATATTCAGAGGTATTTAAGAGAGAATAGAAATTTAACATATTGTGATAACTTGAGGTGCAGCAGTGGTAACAAAAAAAATTTTTTTTTTGGAAAATATTCTTAATGATAAAGTTAAAAAAATTCACTTTGGCCTAGTACTCTGAGATGGGATTCAAACCCACCTTTCGCAATCTGACAATATTTAGGCAATGTAGAAGTATAAAAAAAAGAAAGCAATAAAAAACCACCTCCACTAGATGGCAACTCTAGCAAAAGTTGATTCTTGCAGGAAGCGAATGGACCAAAGACAGACATTTCCGATCCTTTTAACTAACATATTAAAAAACTGAAATATGCAAAGTTCGTAACTTGGATATCAATACAAATATGAAAAGCGCAAATAGAATATGAGTTGTTTATTGAGTTTTGAAAACTTATGTACTTTTATACATGAAATAAAACCGGAAGGGTTGTCATGGTGAAATAAATAAGTACCTACCGTAGCGACATATAGTTTGATTTCGGAAAGTAATGTTTTTTTAAATACTTCCTCAATCACCCAACCAGCCGAAAGAAATATTTTAAACTTATGATAAAGACGAAAATTTGTTTTAATTATTATATTTGATCAACTTTCTGTACAGGGAAATTCCGTTTTCTGTATTTTTTGCATAGATGCACATTAGTTAAAAACAAAATAATAAAGAAAAAGAGTTTGTTGTCTATAGTTAAGATTGTATTCGACGCATTATCATGTGTGTAGGTTTGGTAACGATCTCGTTGGCGAATTTCAACACAAGACAGTTGTCTAACTTCAAAATTAAGTTGACGTGGTTTGATTTTTGAGCACTGAAACGAATACGCCATTTTATTATGCAACTATCAATTTTTAGTTTCAATTTTTAGAGAAAATTAAAAAATAACAAGAGTTAAAATTATTCTACAATAGAGTTTGGCAAGCGAAACGTGACACCACCTATTTTTCCGTTTTCATATGGCAACAACATAGAACTGTCAGTTTGACACTACGTTAGACAATTCAAGAATATTGAATTTTGTTGTTTTTGCGAATTTGAACTTGTGTTTTTGGTTAAAAATTATGTCGAAGCCGATAAAAAGTTCATCGAGGAAACTTCTTTCCATCATGATTGACAAGTTTACTGAAGTGAAAACTGAATTAAATAAAAATTTCATGGAGAAATTACAACGATTAGATAAAGTTGTATCTTTTTTAGGTTAGTTTTGTATTATAATTTTGATACTTTCGTTTTAATTTTCTGTAATTAACTAAACAGATATTTTTTATAAAATATTGCTCTATTTCAGATAACTGTGATGGTGATATTCAACCAATAATGGAGGAGATAAATGCAATAAAAACTTTAGAAAAACAAGAAATGCTGAATTCGGAAACGCAGTACTTACAAAAAATTTCTTCAATGACAGGTCTCTTTTCTTGTTTTGATTTAAGATAGATTGATAGTATTCCTTTAATATTTACATAGGTTTTTTATGATGTATTGGTTTTTATTGTTGACATCCAATGATGTCATAAGAATGTTTTGTTTAACAAGGAAATTCACAGAATTCATGAAACTAATCAAACCATGTAATTGTTATACATGCTAAATATGCACATAAACTTAACTAAATTAAACATAAATTGCATTCATAGTTGAATAGGTATTTAAATTATTTTGATGTATGTGTCTATCATTATTTGCTTTTAAATACATTTAACATATCTTTGTTTCAAAGTGTTTAATCTTTTATAGATGTAAGTATAAGGACATTAAGAAGGATAAAAAATGAAGCATTAATTAATAAAGGAAAATGGGACACTCCTGGGAAAAAACGACCTCATCAACCAACAGTGTCTGCTTTAGATAATTTTGATTTAAGTGCAATTCGGAATAAAGTAAATGAATTTTACTGTGTGAAAAAAATTGTTCCAACATTAAGAAGCCTTCACAATGAATTAAAAGATGCAATAGGATTCAGTGGTAGCCGTGAGACTTTACGAAAAATTATGCTTAAGAATGGATTTTCTTTTAAAAGCAATGAAAATGAATGTTCTATGCTTATAGAAAAATACCAGATTTCTGCATGGAGGCACAAGTATTTGAGAGAAATAAATATAAAACGAAACGAAGGAAAGCAAATTGTGTACCTTGATGAAACTTATGTACATCAGAATTATAAAGTTAAAAAGTCTTGGCAAGGACCTTCAACAACTGGTGTCACTACAAAGATATCCTCTGGAAAACGGCATATTGTTGTGCATGCTGGATCTGAGGAAGGTTTTGTGCCTGGTGCATTATTAGTGTTCAGTAGTAAATCCAAATCTGCTGATTATCATGATGATATGAACTCATCGAACTTTATGAAATGGGTCAGAGAAAAATTAATACCAAATTTAAGTAAGCCCAGTGTAATTGTTATGGATAATGCCAGCTACCATATAAAACAAATCAATAAACCGCCTATAATGTCTAATACCAAAGCAGATATCCGTAAATGGCTTGTAAATAATGGAATACATTTTGAGGAATATCAGACAAAGGCAGAATTAATGTGTTTGGTTAATGATAAGAAAACATTGCCTGTATATGAAGCTGAAGAGATTTTAAAAGAACATAATCATGAACTTTTATTGCTGCCACCGTATCATTGTGACTTAAACCCAATAGAGATGGTTTGGAGTCAAGCAAAAAGAAAAATTGCAAGCAGAAACATTGGAATACCAGGAAAGGAAATGGAAAACTTAATAATAGAGTGTTTTAACTTAATTACCCCTAGTGACTGGAAGAAATACACTGATCATGTTTTAAATGTCGAAAATGATTACAAATTAAAAGATGGCATTGTTGAAAACGAACTTGAAAAATTTATTATATCTGTTGGTGCAGACAGTAGTGAAGAGAGTGACTCTGATGATTCCTTGTCATTGTTATCAGGTGTAGAATATTTAGAAACAGATTTTGACTATGAATCAGACTAAAGTATTTTTAGTCTGATTCATAGTCAAAATCTTATCTTAAATTTTCTATTGTGATTAACATGATGATTTTGTGACACCTGTATTATGTAATTTATCCATGGCACTTAATTGTAACAAAAATAAATGTTTTTTTTATTGTAATCTGGTGTTTATATTGACTAATTTAATTTGATAGATAGTGGTTCTGGATCAGAGCAAAAGGTTGTGATGAAAATCCCTTAGGAGACATGTATGTGTTATGAACACATTATAAATATAAGGGCCAGAAATCAAAATTGGCTAACATCACATTTATTAAAAAAATGTGGCCAGAGTCGCCCATATTCATTACAAAAAAACAAAGAAGTCGTTGCAAAAAACACCCTTTTAATTAATGACAAATATGAATTTTTAATATTATAAGTGCTGTTAGCCAATAGGTATAACGAATGGGTTAAAAAAAAGATTCGATTTAGTCCGTCAGTCAGATAATAGAAAAATATTGGATACGTATTTTTTTTCGCTTTAATTTAACAACAAATGGCTTAAGAGGTACTATGCGACGACTTCAAATATGTTTTGCAACAATGTTACTTTAATACAGTTTATCGATACGAAATCAAGTGTCAAAATGGAGTCCAGTGGAGAATGCCGATATTGACATTTCGAAATTGCTCATCATTGATAGAGAATACGAAATAGTGATTTTGACACAATCAAAGTGTCTATTTTTTACGGTGATGACGATTCTTGGTTGTCAGTTGAGTTAGTGAATAGGCCTACTGATATGCTGTTAACTGTACAATTAAGAACAGTCACGCTTTAGTCAAATGTTCCAAAACAAATAATTTTAATTGATATCTAAATGTTAAGATTAAATATAATTAATAAAAGTATCAAAATTATTTTGCAGTACTACATTCAGTGTTTACTGCTTAAGAATTTTTGAAATTGCCGCCCTTTTCTTGTGACACGTTTCGCTTGCCAGACTCTACCATTAATTTGTAAACAAGCGATAAATTTTACAATTACATATTTTTCTTTTTTCTTAAAAGCAAAAGAAGAAAAAGAATGCGCAGTCATTTCTTACAATTTTCAAACTTTTTCGGTTTAATATGATTTAATTTTTCAGTAACATGTTATCAGCAGACGATTTGTCTATGGACATTTATTTGGTAATAATTCAATAAAGTGCTATGGCAACACCGGGATCATATGATTGTTCAATGAAGAAGTACGTCTGATAGGCGTCGACATTCTTCTTTGAGCCAGTTTTTGGTTTTCTGGCTCATTATCGGCTGTTTTTCGTTTCAGTGGTGTTTTAAATTTAATTATCAGCCATGGCGCTCAGCGACGCAGATGTTCAAAAGCAGGTACGTTTACGATTTATGAACAAGTTTTGAATGCCACATGATATGCATTTGTCAGAATGATTGATCCAGGTTCAATTCATGATTTCTGATGCACCGATTAGAATTGACCCATTCTCTTTGTATGAAATGCCCTTATTGCACTTTAATCTAAGCTTTTATTTTCAATAGATCAAGCATATGATGGCCTTCATAGAACAAGAGGCCAATGAAAAAGCGGAAGAAATCGATGCAAAGGCTGAAGAGGAGTTCAATATTGAAAAGGGCCGTCTGGTGCAGCAGCAGCGGCTCAAGATCATGGAATACTATGAAAAGAAAGAAAAACAAGTGGAACTCCAAAAAAAGATGTAAGACCACTGACCTGAGTCTCACTTAGTATAAAATAATAGGTGAAGACTCTATGGTAACTCGGGAAGATTAACACCTCCCTTAAATATAACTACAGTGTTAAAAACTGGACGTTACAAAACAGAAGTTATGTAAAGTTATCAATTCCAATAAAAATGTGCATTTTTTATTTATTCTGTAAGCTAAATTACTTATAGATTGACAAGAATCGTGTTACATTCTCTAGAGATTCTCGTCTCTTTGAAATATTTAATAATGCATTCTCTAGAGATTCTCGTAGTAAAATAAATACCCTTATATTGAGAGATTCCTGATAAAATGGTTATTCTCTTTAATTTATGATTATTTTATGTATTAATCAATACATGTTTTAAATGAATATAAACATAATACCACAAGAGTATCTAAGTCACATGACTGGTCAAGGTTCCACAATGCATTTAAGTATAAACTTTGAATATAGAATTAATACATTATTACTTTTCTCATTCTATTTACTTTTAGCAAATTGAAATTTTAAACTGACTGAATATAAAATGAATATAATTCTGATGCACAACTATGTAAATTGAATGGTAAAATTATTATGATTGTATTGTATTGTTTCGAGTTGCGTATTATCTAGGGTTTATGCAGCCCAGTACCACTAAGACCAATGCTGATCTATTGTGATCTCCACATGCTACAGTTCACGGTCAAGATTACATTCTGCAAGAAAATGTAGTATTTTCTTGGCTGTAAGATCTTTAATTTTGTCTCGGTGCATCACGTGCTTCCTCAGACAGATACACCGTCTTCGCATTAGTGACGGGCAGTCAGTCAAAAGGTGCAAGGGTGTTTCTTCATCCTCCTTGCATCCTCTGCACACTCTACTGCTGCTGATCCCGATGTTGTACATGTGTCTATTCAGTCCACAGTGTCCTGTAAGTGCTCGTACTAATGTGCAAAGGTTGGTTTTGGTTAGGTTTAAGGCCTCTGATGCCGCCTTTTTGTTGAAGGCTTTGATCAGGGTCTTAGAGTGTTTCTCCATAATTGAATAGCTGCAAAATGGCAGTACGTTTTCAAGGTTAGCTGGGTTAGGCTTAGAGGGATGCCACAGGACGGTTCTAGTTCGATAAGGGCGTCTTTAGCGCCCTTCTTCACCAGTTTGTCCGCCTGCTCATTGCCGTCGTGCCCAGCGTAACCCGGAACTCATCGTAGAACTACTTTGTTGTTTTTGCCCAAAGAGTTCAGTGCCTGTTTGCAGTTCTCGACCAGCTTCGATCTAGTTACGTCAGAGACTAGTACTAAGACTGCAGTAAATTATTATGATTGTAAATAAGTTATTTATTACAAGAAAGCACTTAAATCCTTTATAAAATAGAGTACTTTCCAGTGAAGTCACTATATAATTAAAGTTTTTCACTGACAAGTATGTTATATATTAATTTAATTTTAAGTATGTTTTGGTCATTTAAAGTAGAAAAAAAACAGTATGTTACTGTACGTACATACTGTTTTTTTCTTAAGATATTAAGATTAACACAACATTTACAAAATTACCTGATATGTTAGCAAATATCTTTCCCTTCTATAATTTCATACTAATCACATTGGAGTAACACTTGCCCTTTTCATATTCCGTCATTAGTTGTCTAACTAATGATGATACAGTTTAGTACAAGATTTTGATACAGTTTTTTTTTTCGTAAATAGGGTGATTCAAAAGGAACGTTTTTATGTTTAATACAAGACTTAAAGAAAGCTAGTGCATAACAACAGGTCTTTCAGCATTCCTGAACTTAACCTTGAGCAAATCAAAGTTTTAAATTGTTTGGTGAAATTAGACATGTGTACTTTTGTACTGGTTTTTTTTTTAATTTTTAGACTCGCGCTGCATTTCAAATACTTATAGTACCGGGTATTATACGCGTTTTTTAGACTGACCTGCGCCGACGTTTCGGCCGGTTTTTTATTTATCTTTTCTTGTTCATTGGCTATATATTATATTTTATAGGCAAAAAAAAAAATTCAATATTTAGTGTTTTAACAATGTGTAAAACACACACTATAGGCCACTTAGTATTATTTGATAAAGATGTGGTAATCTATTTTGATAAGAAAAATCTGTTTCTGTACATACTATATCTATTCATTCATAAAGTCATAGCACTTAAACATGATTTCTAGTTAATACTACCTGACGAATATAATATTTGAACTTTTTATAGAGTAAATTAATTTAATTAAATTTTACCAACTACATTTAACTATTGTCATTTATAAGTATAAAAAAAAAGATGTAGTTCCAAGTCTTTTAAAAGTAGCAGTAGTGTTTTATGAATTGGTTGTCTATGCAGTTTCAACATAAATGAGAAAGAAAACCTAAAACTTTTAAGTTTTCTTTCTCATTTATGTCAATTCATTTTAGTAAATTCCAAAAGCTCAGAAGGAACTCCTTTTGAACAATTGTGATCAATGCCTGAGATTAGTTGCAGAATATTTAACACGTATTTTTTTATTTCTTACATAATCAATAAATTATGGTGGAGTTGAAATGTCGCATAACGATACCCCTTTATACATTTTCTATATAGTTGTGACGTAGCGAACCCCCACTCATCAACTTTAATGCATTTTCCAAGCCATTTCTTGTTAAATTGAAGACAAAAAAATACGTATCCAATATTTTTTCGGGCTAAATGGAATCTCTTTTCTTTTACCCAGTCATCATCCCTATTGCAGTCAATAAAGTCAATCAATTAAAACGGCCTTTACTTCTACAGGGTTATTAAAATACCAATAATCTAACCGTTACATTTTATAATATTAATATTGGTAATAAAAATATTGACAGACAAATAATTTTCCAGCCAATCATCGAACATGCTGAACCAAGCTCGTCTGAAAGTGCTCAAAGTACGTGAAGACCACGTACGCAACGTACTGGACGAGGCCCGCAAGCGCCTGGCTGTAGTACCACAGGACACAAAACTCTACTCAGATCTGCTTGTTACACTCATTGTCCAAGCTCTGTTCCAGGTGCGTTCTTTTATCTATTTTATCAGTGGTTTTACCAATGAGGTCTAAAATAATACGTTTAATTACGGTAAAAAGTACAATAGTATTATAAGTAGTACACTTTTTGTTAAAAATTAAATTTTATTAAATATTTCTACGTCGTTTTTATGTGTAGGAACTCCAATGGTTTAATTTTATTTTGGTGTTTTTATAGAGTAACACGCCATTGGAGAGTTCACGATTTTGTTGTACACGCAGCGGCACATCACGTTGCCACATGTCAAATTTGCGCAGTTAATTATGAACTCTATCTGCTTTAAGCTTTGAAATCGAATAAAGAAATTTGTATGTTTTTATATAATATGACCTGTATTATTATTTCGTTGCGGGTTACTATAAAATGTCTAATTTTAGCAATCTATTTAGAACCGAATTTTCAAACGGTATGTGTTTGAAATTTTGTATTATAAAAGTAGTACCATTATCCGACCAAAATAGGAATCGACCCATTTCAATTTGACGTTTCCTCCTTTTATTAGTCCTCTTTCCTCCTTTTATTCCTCCTTGTATAATAAAATGTTAAAGGTTTTATATCTTTATTGTTTCAGCTTGTGGAGCCCGCAGTGACACTCCGCGTTCGACAAGCGGATGTAAGCTTAGTACAATCCCTCCTTTCTAAAGCCCAACAGGACTATAAGGAGAAAATAAAGAAAGATGTTCAACTAAAGATCGACAGTGAGAGCTTCCTGCCGGCTGACACCTGCGGCGGTGTGGAATTGATAGCTGCCAAAGGGCGTATTAAGGTATGAAGTTAATATACGAAATATATTCTCATTTTCAGAGTTCCATACTTGAAAGTGACAAACAAGACTCTTATAGTATCAATCATGTCTGTTTGTCACAGCTGATTTGTTCTGAAACTACTGGTAGTTTACAAAAAATCAGCCTTCTTTAATGAAGGAGAATTGTAAAACAACAATAATCTCGCTAGATTAAAAAGTCAACGTTAGTTTTACTATTTTTAATATCACGTGAACCGTGTTAGACAGTTGAAATTTCCACAGGTGATATATTTATATTGCCGCCAGAACAACAAATACTAAAAACTGCCAAAAAAAAAATGTAAGGTAGCTTTCGTAGAACAAACCAGTATTTTTTTCGATTTTATAGATCGTTGTTGTGTAATCAATCCCTTCGTGACCGAGTCGGATTCGTACTTGGCAGGTTTATGATAATCTGATGCATTTTTATTTCTACTTTCGTGAAGATTGGTACATAATGACACTAATTTTGTAATGTAAATACAGCGTTAAGATAATATCATACTAATTTTGTGTTCGTTTTGTTATAATAGATCAGCAACACACTGGAATCACGTCTGGAGCTGATCGCTCAGCAATTGCTGCCGGAGATTCGTACCGCACTATTCGGTCGCAATCCTAACCGTAAATTCACCGATTAAACGGTTATCACACACAAACACTTGTTACTACTAACATTATATTTAATGAGAAAAAAAAAAACAATCCTTAATTAGTAGAACTATAATAATAAGTGTTTTTCTTTTTGCCTAATTAAATATATTATTATAATTAATAATGCGTACAATTTTATCGCTGTTTAGAATTTAAAATATGACGAAACCCCGATAAGTCGCCAGAAAATGTAAGTTTAATATATTATTAATGTAACTTTATTAATGAATTAACACAATCTACTCTACTAAAGTACATTAGTTTCGCCTTAAAAACTATATATTTATCAGCAACATAATGTTATAATATTTTATTATTACATACAATTCATTCGTAAGCATGTTGCTCTGTCTATTTTAGAGGATGTAGTTTATAGGGTTTTGGAAAAGAGTTTTAATTAAGAAGATGTTACCATTTACCTGTGTATGGACATATATATTGCTTAGATGATACCGTTATATGTATACGTCGGAGATTCAATCCCAGTATTATTGATCGTGAAATATAATACAAAACACCGACATTTACACTACAGAAACATGTTTATTTTATACTTATTCACATCATGGAATTTTAAATGATTTTTTTAATCGCTTTTGCCGAGGAATTTAATTGGGGGCTGCAAGTTAGTAAGGTCACGGCAGCATCCCATGCTGCTCCCACTCAAATCGAGCCAAAGATTTGACTGAGCGCAGTGTGGTGTGACGTCACTAGTTTTCAGCTCATCAATCGCATTCCTGCTTTTGTGTTCCTTATATAAATCCTGGCAATGTAACATTTTTGGCTTGCTTCTTATTATTGAGCACCATAGCTCATAGGGTACAATGTATTACTCCCATTATGGCACTGTTGAAAATTCTTATGTAAATATATAGATGTGTTAAAAACGGTGTTTTATTTTCAATTTTTACGCGACTACCCCAAATGAAAAGGTTATGATTTTGACTCGTACACTAAAACACAAGTTATATTCCTCATCGATGTAAAGTTACAGCACATCAGGTTATACAAATCAGTTTACTTTCTTTTTTCAATTTTAAACATTATACACTCGCGATAGAGCTGAAAATTATTTGATATATTTTGGTACTAATCTTTTACATCGAGTCTGCTGTCGACGGTAACCGTAACTAAATGAGGGAGATAACAATATAGCGCCATAAAGCGATCTGCTATTATAGCGAAGTTCCGACCCACGGTATATTGTATAACGTCAAGTTAGAAGGCACACTAACAGATTTGCGGATCCTATGTATGTCAATAAATAGTGATATATAGCATATAAATAGTGTCACTGAATTAGGAGATATTTAAATATTTTAGTGTGCCTGCTAGTTATACGTCTAGATAACAGGCACAACAGAAATACGATTCGTATTAGTTTGTATTACATGTCAAGAAATTGTGATTGAAAAGTAACTTCTATACTACCAACTTGTATTTCATTTAATTAGCTGTGTTATACCGTATTTAGGTAGAGTAAGTTCCGACTAATATGGCGCATGGTGAGTCTTCGTTTGCGCAGAGCAGCCCTATTCTATTAAAATTGAAACACAAATGAGGAAGTATTTAAAAAAAAACGAAAGCACTAAAAATACACCTCCACTAGATGGCGACTCTAGCAAAAGTTGTTTTTGCAGGAAACGAATGGACCAAAGACAGTCATTTCCATTCCTTTTAAGTAAGATATTAAAAAACTGAAATTTGAAAAGTTCGAAACTTAGATAATATCAATACAAATACGAAAAAATACAAATAGAATATGAGTTCCCGAAATTAAACTAGATGTCGCTACAGTACTTTCTTGATTTCTCCGTGGCAACCCTTCCGGTTTTCTTTCATGTGTAAAAGTAAATTAGTTTTCAAACTTAATAAACTATTCATTTTGTATTTGTATTGATATCTTATTTCGAACTTTGCAAATTTCAGTTTTTTATATTTTAGTTAAAAGGAACGGAAATCACTATATTTGGTCCATTACTTTCCTGCAAAAATTAACTTTTGCTAGAGTCGCCATCTAGTTGAAGTGCTTTGTAGTGATTTTTTTAAATACTTCCTCATTTCATGTGCATCTGGACTGAGTGATCCTTTTGCAATTTTCAACAAAACCAAAACGTACATTTACTCAAAATTTGTCAAAACTCATAACCGAAATCAAAAAATTTGTCACTCTTAAGCGATCGAAGATATTGCCCTATATGTGGATCACTCAATTCAGACATTAGAGAAAATGGCTACAAGTCGAATCTCAGGAAATAGTTACACTGTGAATAAAATTTTCATATCAAAAAATTTTCAGAATTTGTCACATTATTTTGCAAAAAATTAAGATACTTTAATGTAAATCCAGGATTCTACGATAGTTTCAATGGATCACTCAATCCTGACGCATTTAGATTGAGTGGTTCTAGAAATACGGTAATATGCTTACAATATACATGATAACTTTTTTTTTACTTTAAAGAAACTTTTAAATATATTTGTACAAATTAATTTCACACCACAAATGTTTATAGTTAAAAAGTTATGTCCAATCAAAGCTTTTTAAATTTTCTGAATTGAGTGATCCTTATAAACGCATGTAGATAACAACCCCTTGTTATAATGTTAAATACAAAATACGTTGAAAATTTGTACAACATTGTGACTAAAATTTGGCATATAATTTATTTGTTAACGTCATTTTATTCACGAGATATTCGTTTTTAAATTTTTTCTCAAATAAATATAAATATAACCATATTAAAAGAATTTAAAAAACAATAACATCTTAGACAAAGAACAACCAACAGAAGATACTTCTGGAATTTCTACTCCTACAACCTTAACATCGAATACACTTAATAGTCCAAAAACTGTTTTAGACTGTAAAAGTTGTTCGTTTACATTAGACGTTGATACCTATGATTTAAAAAAAATAACGCCGTTTATATTTAAGGAGGAAAAAATCTCACTCAGGCCATTATCAGAGATATAAGACGTTACCAAAATTCAAATAGTCAGACATGTTAAAGGAAAAGATATGGCTTAATTCGAAGTTACCATGCACTTGGACTTGAAGTATAAAATTCAGGATGACACCATAAAATTTAAAGGAAAATGTTCTCAATGTAGTGCAAAGATTGAAATAGCAACTTTGAATCGCACTGATAAAATACATACGTTTATCAGCAATAGCTTTTAAGTGCTCAATAAAATCGCATTATGGTCACCCCACTGAATATTTCTTTGACAAAAAATTTAAAAACGTATATCTCGTGAATAAAATGACTTTAACAAATAAATTATATGCCAAATTTTAGTCACAATGTTGTACAAATTTTCAACGTATTTTGTATTTAACATTATAACAAGGGGTTGTTATCTACATGCGTTTATAAGGATCACTCAATTCAGAAAATTTAAAAAGCTTTGATTGGACATAACTTTTTAACTATAAACATTTGTGGTGTGAAATTAATTTGTACAAATATATTTAAAAGTTTCTTTAAAGTAAAAAAAAAGTTATCTTGTATATTGTAAGCATATTGCCGTATTTCTAGAATCACTCAATCTAAATGCGTCAGGATTGAGTGATCCATTGAAACTATCGTAGAATCCTGGATTTACATTGAAGTATCTTGATTTTTTGCAAAATAATGTGACAAATTCTGTACAATTTTTTGATGTAAAAATTTTATTCACAATGTAAGTATTTCCTGAGATTCGACTTGTAGCCATTTTCTCTAATGTCTGAATTGAGTGATCCACATATTGGGCAATATCTTCGATCGCATAAGAGTGACAAATTTTTTGATTTCTGTTATGAGTTTTGACAAATTTTGACTGAATTTACGTTTTGGTTTTGTTGAAAATTGCAACAGGATCACTCAGTCCAGATGCACATCCTCATTTCTCTGATGATCGAACGTACGATAGTTTATAGAAAGTTTTATATAATAAATATAAGGTGTAAAATACAACGAAACACGTGTCCATCTTACTCTCTCACTCAGCGGAAGAGAGGTGCGAAGATTTTGGAGGCGCGGAAAAATTTGATTGTCGAGCTTTGAAATCTAGCTTTTTGCGCGGATATATCTTGTTTGTATATTACTATATAATCTTTATGAATGGAAATCAAACAGTTATTTTTGTTTAAATTTATTTTAATGTGTATACACATATAATACAAAATATATTACAAAAATCAAACATGTATTATAAACTTTGAAATCATTTATTTAGACCGTGCCGTCTCCACAATGTATAATTATAATTTTTAGTAGTTACCTTTGATTAGGCGACAAATACAACTTAAAAAACATCTGCAATTGTGAATTCTAAGCTATCAATTGCTATTCTCAACACTTACCCGCTTTTAGTTAACGCAGGAGAAATATATAAGGTGTAACATTATTAAATCCAGTACTAAATTACTATGGCAGCAACACTGAATTCACGAAAAGTTAATCAGCTGTTTTATACTCTCAACGATTGTAGGTATTACTATTTTGTATGAAGCAGCTGGTTATTTTTCGTGAATTCAGTTGCTCCCATAGTATAAGTTGTTCAGTTTACCTAACTAATCCACTTCACACCGACCTGGCATATAATAATATTACATCTTATATACTTCGTTAGCCTTAAATCATTAGGGGCTCACCAGCCACCTGTTCGAGGCTTGAGGTCAAAGAGTGATCGGCCTACCTGATAAATCCTACGGAATAACTTCTTGCGGGGGAGGGTGTATCCGATGCTGTATGTATGATAGAGATTTCTTAGTTATTGAATGCCCGTTTACATTAAAATACTACCGTAAATTACCGATACTTAGTAGTTCAAAGTTTTTTAAATCAATTTGAAAGTTCTTTTAAATATTTTTTTTTAACTTTCTCTTATTTGTTATGTAATAACGGCTTACATTTAGGTAGATATCTCATTTATCGATTATCACATAATTTCTTCTGAAATTATTCAAATATAGGTAAAATAAGATTTTTCGCAGATGCAACTGTTATCACTGCCAGCTATAATAACAGCTGCTAGTAAAAAATCCCTTTTTATAATCAATTTTTGTATTACCGTTAATATTCTAGCTATTTAAGAGGTTATCTGAATTTCTCAACTATAAATGGAATTTCCTAAGTATTAATTACTCTTAATATATTTCGTTTATTTAAAATGGCTGACACAGGGTTTTTTTTATTCCACGTAGCCTTTGTTTTGATAGCTTTATGTTGGTAAAATAATTTTTAAATTCCGTCTATCCGTTAAAAACAAATTAAACTTAACTTCTAATTTATTTTCACTAATATTATTCCATTTGTATCATAAATGCCAAAGTGATTCGTAGCATTTACATGGTCAAACAAAAGATGGCAAAATATCTGGTTCAAAATATGTTAAGCCTTATAAGTAGGTATGTGTTATTAAAAGTCTTTGGAGAGGAGTGGCATTACCCAAGGGCGAATCCAGCCTTCACGTCAGGGGAGGTGGAGTTTAATCACGACAATGCATCCAGCCTTTAAGTTGGAGGTTACAAAGTCGTGATCCAGTCAGCCATACTCCCCTGGATCCTTCCTTGGTATTATTAGTGAATTGATTGCACAATATAAACATTTCTGATAAAAATAACACTTAGTACGTATGAACGCAGAGGTTGAATATCTAAACAACAAGATGTGAAACATCAGGTGTATACGCGGGAAGATATCTCGGCACTCTCGGCTCATCCCGCCTTCTTGCTCCGCGGTCCACTGCCAAACTGATGCTGCCCGCTTCCTTCACCCCATTGGACTTCGCTCGTCGCTGCGACGGCAGAATAGCAGCGCGAAGAGATTTCCGTTTCTGAAATCATATTTTTACAACCTATAACATGAAATTGAATGTACTTATTATATCTCATGCAAAGATTGCGGAATGCACTAGGACTAAACACATGCTCAATGGGCAAAGACTTGGCGGTAAGAAGAAAGGTAGGCAGTACTTAATTTTGATTTTATATCCTTAGGGTTAGGTGATATTTAAGTGAATAGACGCAGGCGTTTTATCGGTACCGGTAGTTTCATAACACTATAAGATTTGGCTATATCAAGGCACTACTTTAAAGGTTCATTCCTCATAACCATTCTACATGAAAAGAAACCGAGATTGACATTCCCTAAAGATGAAGGTAGAGGAAAATCCGTTATTGCGAGCGTGACAGATGTTAAATCTACTTACGACACCGAATTCTATATCAGATCCAGCGACTTGATGATCCTCAGCAAAGCAGCGGGAGACAACTTTGTCGTGACAATGAAAATTAACAATCTAATGTACGTGAAACTTATTTATTTTCGATTAAATACTTTGAATATTGGTCGTTAACAATATCTTGAACGCCTACAGTAATTGTATGTCACTTGAAAGCGCCGTCAGTCTATATTTTGCTTTCGATTTGATGTTTGATGTAGTACTGAGTCACAAAGGCTTCCGCCTTGACTTTGTTTACCTCGACAGCACCACGCCATCTGTCGGCCGCGTGCCGAGCGATCTCCAGTCTCTTCTGCTTCCGAATCTGGTGCCGTTTGTATACCACCTCGATCACTATAAGGACTATCCCTCCTATGATGCCAGCCAATACGAGTATGAACACTCCTGCCATATTTTTTAGTCCGAGAGTGTTAGGTGTTTTCTCGTTTTCTTCGCAGTTTAACATATTATTTCTCAGGATCCACTGGTTGTCCAGGGATTCCATTATTCCACCTGGGGGAAACGATTTGCAAGTATATCTTAAAATACCAGAGTTTGAAAAAAGAGACAACAAAATATCTGTAGTACTTACTTTCATGAAAGTCCAAAATAGCTAATGTGACTAAATCTGCCCAAGGTGATCCTTTCTTCAGACCCACGCCGTATCCAGAGCGACCAAACAGTTCCCCAGCTGTAACGAGCTCGCAATCTTGCGCTGCTTCAAATTCCAATCGGGAAGAATCCCATATGAACGCCATCAATTTACTAGAAAAAAACTCGACAATTAACAAAAGACTTCCAAACTTGAATGAACATTTAATTTTTTTGTTGCGTTTCTCTATGGTCTTGGGTTGGATTGGGGAAGGTCAACGTAGATAGATAATGGCTTTTTCTTTTTTGCCTCGGATCTGGGTGTGATACCTTCGTTGTTTCAGATTTCCATAATACAAGTACTTTCGCTACTTAATTTGGAATTTGAGCAATGTATGAAGTCTAAATATTTATATTTACTGTTTGGCTGTAAGTACATCTGTATGTTCTATAATATCCACTTTAAAACTAATTTTGATAATTGTCATAGACCTCATACCCATTTTTGACGTCTTCAATAGCTTGTTCAGCGTTATCATAGTTATTAGCCTCCATAGTTCGATACATATTGGACAATTCCACTTGTCGCCTGAAATACATGTCAACGGCAGATCCTTTCACAGTTGCACACGTAAGATTCTCCATGGTGTTTCGTAACTGTAATCATATTAACTTGTTTATCAGACCAGATAATAATAATTGAAATCTCGCCTGCATCTAATTTATTATTAAAATTCTGAATGAACCTATTTCCCTAACTCTGAGTCATCCAAATCACCTCGTTCTTCATGTGCTTACAATCTTTTTCTGAGGAACTCCTCAATTAATATTTCTCATTATTAAAACACTACCCAGCCGATATTAGTTATTACTTATGAACTTTTAGTCGGGCTATTGAAGTGACCTAGAGCACAATAGTCAAAGGTTTAATGTTTAATTATGTTTTGTCTGATGCATAGTTGCTTCGACAAATGGCTTTAATAACGTGGCTTAAATTTTGAATACCTTTTATGTCTATATTAACTATTAAAGATCAGAACACGGTCATTTAGAAATTTATTATTTAATGTATGAAAAAACATTAGAATTAAGAAAGTGAATTTATAAACTCACTCTCGCATCGTTTATGCCCGTGAGTTTGGTCTTCGGTCGCTCGAGCACCAGGAAGGCTGCTAGATTGGCAGTATAAGAAGCGACAATGATCATAGCGAATCCTGCCCAAACCATGCCCAAAACTCGCGCAGAGAAACTCCTAGGTGTTCCTAAAGGTAATATCAAAAATTTGCTTTATCTTTTATACCTACATCATTATACAAAAGGTAACATTATTTGCCTAGCTCAAGAAGGTGATAATGACGCCTTTTTTGAAGATTTCTACAACCATCGCTGTTGTGATTATATGGAACGAAACCCAGTTTTGTCACAATTTTAGACTTTTGCTTAGAGTCATATTTGTTTTATTTATTTATTTACATGTTATTATGATTCAAAAAGGATGGTCGTTTATTGTATTATTAAAGAAAATTATATTAAAAAGTACTATTGATGATACTTATCTCAAGAGGGTGGGCAATCATACCACTAACGGGGAGTTAGTGGAGTAGTTACATTATTAAATTATTTTCCATGACGTCAACTAACAATTTATTATTCAGATAAAACAATCAGATGCTATATTATATTGAAAGGACTCGAGTCGGAGAAAGGAATGTAACGAATAGGATATTGGTAATGCATATATCGATATAATCTTACCTTCACCTATACCACTGTTCAAAAGCACTCCCCATGCAAACCATATAGCGCTGGACAAGTTCAGTGCATCCTCTTCTGTGCCGTCGATATTAGCCAGCTTAAACCTTCCGAATGGCGAGAACCTGTCTAAGAGGTACAGCACCAGTGCCACGACGTGGACTGAGACCATCACAAGAATCCATAATGTGTTAGAAAATGGTTGCAAGAACGACACTAGCGTCGACGATCTAGAAGGCTGTAAAAGTAAAATGTAAACCGCTATAACCATATATTATAATACTATAGTATTAATAAATAAATATAAGACAACATCCCTACCCTACCCCACCAGGCGTGAAGATATAGAAATCTATTCTAATGTGTGATTGATGATATGTGATGTTGTATATCTATACAAACATCACATACATTTCTCAGATTCCAAGAATAAATATAAAATAAATATCGAACAACATCACACACATTGATCCGATTCCGAGGTAAGTAGCTTAGCCACTTTTGTCACGGATATCAGAAACAACGGGTAGAATACAAATATATACATAATATAAATAGAAAACACCCAGCAGAACAGACATAATTGTTAATCACAAAAATGTTTGTCCTGGGTGGGGATTGAACCCACGACTCTCGGGATAATAGTAGGAACGCTACCACCGCCCCAAAGCTCCCGTATTATGCAGTATCTGCTTAGCCACTTTTGTCACGGACAATGAAAGTACCACAACACACAGACACAAAACAATATAAAAAAGTCAATTTTCTACACCAATCCGATCGTGAATCGAAACTGGGATCTCAGAAATGGCGACGCCTTGAAACCAGCGCGCGAACTCGACTACGGAGGTCGTTAACTATAGGACTATACTGCAATTCTGTGACTGCAAGCTGCTGAATGATCTTTCATCATTTCGATAGATTACAAGCGATCTGCATCCGATGAGGCCGCAATTCTTGCTAGGTCATTTACCCATTTCGTGGTTATTCAAAATTTTGGTTCGTTGTCTACACTCAAGAACATTTCTACCTCATCGGCCTCAGTGTAACAAATGTGTAAAACTTAATAACTACTTCAACATCCTTAGTTATGAAATGAAAGTACTTCGAACCATACAGTATTTTTACCTAACTTGTATTAGAATAATTTACCTTTTTTTCCAATATTGTGATGCCTTGATATTTAAATGGTTTACTAAATTCAATGAATTCTGCTCGTTCAGGATTTATTGTCAATGGAGCCACGATCATATCGGCTCGTTCGTAAACTAATTCACCTGAAAATTAAATAGACTAATTCACCTAATTCACCTGATATTTAAAATGTTGATCAATCAAGTACATAACTACTATAAAATTTTAAGTATATTGAACATAATGACATACCAATAAGCCCAGTCCACTCCTTCTTTGCACCGGGCACAGACAGATTCTTTATAATGTAATTCCCGAATTGCCCATCGGGTGATAACGCTAAAGAGTATGTAAAGTTGATCGCTTTCGACAGATATTTCAGTAGATCCATACAAAAACCTTTGCAGCAATACAGCTGATCTGAAAATAGTTTTCAGAGCAATAATATACGATATCTTATAAGATTCAGTCTGCTACCTTTAGGCAGGATCATAATCGAGAAAGATTCAGTCTGCTACCTTTAGGCAGGACCGACCCATCCATGTAGGTAAATTAGGCAACTACCCTGAACGCTCGTATTTGTGAGGCGGCATGCATGACATTACTTGTTTTACTCTAATATTTGAACCCATGCAGTAGGTATGTATATATTTTTAATATTTTTTTGTTATTTGACCATGAATATTCGCGGTATTCAAAACACAGAATTCTCAACTAGTAGTACCTAAGGAGTTTCTATTGTCATTGGCAAAATCACGCTCCTTAATCGGTGTACATATATTGGTCTTTTATAGTATTATGATTTTTTAATGGGCATCGTTCTAGTGTTTTGCCTTTAGGTAAGTAATAACTTTTAATTTCCGCTAAAATTTATTTAAAGGGCTTCGTTTTAATGTTAAAATTAATAGGTACCTATATCTTCACTGGTATTGTAGCTGGCGTTGTAATGGGGGCAAGGTATTTCGTCGATGGTACAATTGCTGCCTTCGTCGACTCGACGGACGTAGACAAAAGGTTTCTCTTCTATTGTTAACACCTGAACACAATTAAATTCTCAGTACTGCGAAGATCTTAGTTAAGGTTTTAATAGGTATAATCTATCGAATAATATGTTTCAATACCTAAACCGACAGGTTATATTTTTATTTGAATTAATAAAGTTTCTCCAAGATAACTGCATTAACATAGAGTTACTGGTTGTAGTAAAATGTTTTGTTTTGTTTTTTTTTGTAATTATTTTCAAGTTTATTATGTTTTCAACTTTGTATATTTAAAAAGACATATTTTGTTGGTGACATATTGAGCGTTAATGATAGGTAAGCATTTCATGATTTTGTTTTCGATTAAAGATTAAAAACAAACCTTTAAGTGGGTGGGTATCATAAAGCCTTCCGGTTTTGTAGGACTGCGGCCCATCCATATAATTTCATGTTCTTTCAGTTCCAAACGCATTTTTTGGGTTTCCTGTAAAAGATATTTATAAAATGAATCACACTTTTATGTTTAAGAAAATTAAAGTTACATGTATAACTTGGTAAAAATATTATCAGTAAATCTACGGCAACTTTACTAAAAAAGCTCTGTTTTAAATTAAAGAAATCACAAACATACTTAAAATTACATAATATTATGTACAGTCAATAGGCTATACAAAATTTTTGAGAATGGAATTCAAAATCAAGTAAAAATATATATGTGATAATCTGACGTGTTTGTTCCATTCCTGTTACACCATATACTTAATCTATATAAGAGAAAGTCTATTGCGCACCTTCGAGTAAAAGTATTTCCCTACAGCCACGTGTTCACCTTGGGCTCTCACATTCACCATGTCGTACTCCGCATGCACCCTATCACCATGATCGTCGAACGCCACGAACCCGGTAGCACCGTTTTCTAGTTTCTGCCATCGGATGAAGTCGAACAATTTACGTCCTGTCGTCCATATAGAGCCAGAGTTGTCACAATCTGAAGGTGGAGCGTTGATTTCTTCTGTATTGTTCATGTCGCGGATCGCTGAAGCTAGCACGTATCTGAGGCAGATCGAATGAGACAAAATATATAGGTAATATATAGGTACTTACCAATGTTGCACTAAGTCTGTTTTGTAAAACTAGTATAATAATATCTATTGTTTAGTTAAAGATTAAGAAAACTTCGATAAATGACAATGCTAATGAATCAATATTCAGTTAAGAATTGATCTAGGGGTTCCGTATGTAAGCTGAAAAAGCAAACTGCTCGGTCATCGGCGTTATAAATATCACCAACTAGTGGCCGCCAGCGACTTCGCCCGCGTTTTCCATTATTTCTTCGCTCCTAATCGTTACAGCGTGATGTTATATAGCCTAAAGCCTTCCTCGATAAATGGTCTATTCAACACAAAAATAATTTTTCAATACCCACCAGATGTTCCTGAGATTGGCGCGTTCAAAAAAACTCTTCAGCTTTATAATATAAGTATAGATTAAAATGTTTCGGGGATTTTATAGCCAACAAGGAGAGTATTTATCAAGTTGAATGATATAATAAGGAAATAATTTTTCCTGCGCGTTGTTGGATGAATGCGTTTCTGAAAATGCGGATTGCCATACACTTTTGACTTACACAGCTGCTATGCCCACAATCACCCCGCAATCTATGCCCACTTGCTGACTATTAGGTCAATGTGAATATAAGTATTCATATGCTCACATAGAGTCCTGGATGTGTGCGTGTTCGTTGGTCGCGTTGACTAGTCGCAAACCAAGGAGCCCTTCGGGCGCGTTCGCTGCGTCTAACGCCTGCTCGGTCACCATCCACACGTAACCAACGGTAGTCATGTTAAGAGATGTCGCATCCCTGAATATAATCTCCGCATCTGTTTTGCTATAAAATGAAAATTTATTTGGATCATGAGTTTTTAACAACCAAAGTTCACGTAACGCATTTTTTTTACAGATACATATATGGGCGCCTATCATTTATTAAAAAATCCAATGATTTGTGATATACTTACCTCGCATACATAAGGAACACTCTCGACTGGGCGCTTTTAACTTCTGCAAGTTTGTCATTAAATGAATCCAGGCCTGGTTCGAATTCAATCACTTGTTCTACCACCACTTTTCGGTCTACGTCTTCGTCAACATTTTGCGAGGTTGTTTGGAACCTATTCAAGATACATAACTAGTTATGTCTTATTTACACATAGTTACCTATAGAATACCGTCTCAAACCAGATCTACAATTTGAAAATAAATGCAGCAAAGAAATGAAATTGGTTTCTTTACATTGACTTAAAAGTATTGATGTTGTCGAATTAAACAAAAAAAAAGAAAATTAAGAAACCATCTTCATTATTTACTTACCAGCCCTAGGTACAAAACTATCGTCATTTTTCTCATAAGGTAACAAAATTTATAACAATTTTTGTGATTAATGGTAATATTTCTAACGTTACCTTAAGATTTTAAATAATTATCCTTACCTTCCTAGAATAGCGCGACCATCGGTATCCGAGCTATGTATAACAATAACCTTCATGTAATTGAAGTGCTTCAACACATCTACCCATACATCAGCCTGATGAGAATAAGGTGGTACAGTTCTTAAGAAGGATACGTGGATGTTTTTGTCAGAAAACGCCGAATCTCTAGACGAGATTCCTATTACAGGGATGTGGTAGAATCCACTGGTGTAGGAGACAGCAGCTGGCGACAAATCACCAGTTAGCGGGTGGGAGACAACCACAGCATACACCTATATAAAAGAAATTATTTATATAAATTAATACATGGAACCGATAGGGAAGAGAAGACTACTATTTTATTTTGTATGTCCATCAGGTAGATTATTGGAGAAGGTTTTATACGTATTTTTTGCGTTATTATAAGTTATAAGTAAATTACGGCGATATATTGAGTCGATATATCGCATGACGTCACGCTTTTGTACATTTTCTACAAATCTGTGAGGTAGTGAGCCCCTCCAACTCTTATTATGTAAGTCATTTATTGTTTAAATTGTAGCAAAAAAAAAAATACGTAAGTATCTAATATTTTTCTAGTACTGATGGATTAAATATTTTTTCTTTTTTATACTCAGTGGTCACCCCGATTGATTCATGTCATGAGTATCGAAGCTAATTTTAATTAATTGTTTTTTTCTAAAATGATACTTACTCGATGTGCAATTAGATCCTTGCAAACGTTTAGTGCGGTTTTTATTGGATTCGGATCCATTAAAATGGAATAATCATGATAAGTAACCCCTCGTGGTACGTACTGGTCTTTGAAGTTTAAATTCTGTAAAGAAAGACATTCGAACTATAAAATATGGTTGTAAATGCATATTCTTGTATACTTTTATTCTATGGCGAATCTTGACGGGTCTACGGAGTAAATAGTTCTACGAACTAAACTCATTGAAAGGAGGCAGACTGCAAACTTCCTTGATTAATAATATTATCTGTACCTGTATTAGGTTGGTACTTACCGATATAGTGTCTTTGAAGAAAGCAACAGATTCATTACTAGATAGCACTCCTCCCACATTGTAATATGTGGGATTGGTATACCGCCGCCTTTCAGGGTCAGCCGCTTCAAAAAGACTAACGTAGAAGGCAAGCACAATAAGAACCACTGGTTTCGACCACATTGTAGGACAGGAAGTGGTCCTGTTATTCTAAAATAATCAACATAGTATCAAATGTAAACTCTATGCCTTGATTAAATTCCTATTGAAGTAGGCTGTCCTATTGAAGTAGTAAATTTTATTTTATTTAGATGTTCTTCGGCGACTTCGCCCGCGTAAATTATAGCCTATGTCACCCGCGTAGCAGCTTTTCGTAGAAATCTTTCTTCTTTATAATATAAGTATAGATATGTACGTATAAATAAAGATAATAGAGACAAAAGGCAAAATCGGGAAAATAGAAAAATATGTTTTATTTTTCTTTAAGAGACTGCATCGAAAAATGTTTTATTCAAAACGTATTTCTATAAACTATGTTACACTATCCTACCTGTAATTGCCCGTGACATTAGATTTGTTTGTAATAACTAATGCATCTTGAAAATGTTTTACGTAATAGGTGAAGACGAGGGAAGCTGTGATTATACTACAGATGGAGTTTTATCTTCTGTTACCTAGGTAACCGCGCAGGCGTGATACGTTAATCAATCGCTATATTTTCAGTCATTTTAATAAAATATTAGAAAAATATTGTATGTTTTTATTACACAAAACTACCTATTCTATTTATTGATCATTATAAAAATGGAAGCAAATACAAAACCAAATATTTTATAATTAAAAACCAAATACTAAATGCCTAAGTCTGTGTATGTTTGTATGCTCCAAGATCCTAATATCATTAGGAGTTAAATTCTGTAAGGTTACAATGTTAACAAAGGAAGGTTAAAAAGGAACTTATTGCCTTTAAATAGGTATTCTCTCAACTCCAAATAAAATAATAATATGTAAGATAAAAAGACTTATGTATTTTCTTGATAAATATTTTAAACAGAAAAAAACAAACTGACAATGACAAAGAATATAAAGAGAAAAAACAAAGTGGCCTATCAAAAGATATATGAAAGAAGGTTGGTGTGTAAACTAAATAGTTCCAACACTTCCCCTACTTCTGAATAAATTAATAGGCCATTATAAATGTTAAATTAAACCTAATCCTTTCGTTAAACACTGATGTCTTTGCTTCGATAGAAACTTGGTTAAGACATCTGCCTTCATTTCATTTGTCGGAATATATTGTATACCAATAATACCACTAGCAACAGTATCCCTAATAAAATGATGTCTAACATCAATGTGCTTTGTTCGTGAGTGATGAACGTTATTTTTTGTTAGCAGTTGAGCTCCCTGATTATCACTATAAATACAGACACCATTATCTAAACCAAACACTTCCTTCAATATGTTTTTGAGATATATGGATTCTTTTGCAGCATCACTAAGTGCCATATATTCGGCTTCGGTTGTTGACAAGGCGACCGTTCGTTGTTTACGTGATTTCCATGATATAGGTCCATTTAAATAAAATACATATCCAGTGTAGGATTTCCGGTCTTTTAAACATGCACCATAATCAGCATCAGTATAGCCCGTAAGAGTGAGTATATTTTTCTTCTGGAATCGGAGTTTAAGATGCATTGTCCCTTTTAAATATCGTAGAACTCTTTTTGCTGCATTCCAGTGAATTGTCCCATAATTAGAATTAAACTGGCTTAACACACTTACTGCATGTGTAATGTCTGGTCTAGTTCCTACAGATAGATACATAAGAGAACCAACCAGTCTTTGATAAGGCAAATGTTGAGCTGCTTCTTTATCTTCATTTGAAGGATTCACTAACTTTAAATTAGGATCAGCAGGTGTACTAGCCGGTTTTGCATCAGTCATAGCAAAATTATCTAGTACCTTTTTAATATATTCTTCTTGATCAATGGCTATACCATTTTCCTCTTTTGCGATTCTCATTCCTAAGAAATGTTTTAAGTTTCCTAAATCCTTGACCTTAAAAAATTGTTTAATATCCCTTTTAAAATTTTCTTTCATATCAGCATTATTACTGAGAATGCAAAAATCATCAACAAAGATTGCAACAATTAACATGCAAGTTTCATTAACTTTATAATATAGGCAATGATCATGTTCAGACCTTTTCATTCCAAGTTGCATCATTGCTTCGTTAAGTTTAAGGTTCCACTGTCTAGGCGCTTGTTTTAAACCATAAAGTGCTTTCTTTAACTGGCATACCTTCCCCTTGTTGCATTCTTTAGTGAAACCCTCAGGTTGTTCCATATATATTTCTTCATTTAGATCACCGTTAAGAAAAGCAGTTTCAACATCCATTTGATCCATTGTTATATTCCATTGTGCTGCGAAAGCAAGCAGTAATCTAACTGTTGAAAGGCGTGAAACGGGTGCGAATGTTTCGTCATAATCTACGCCGTAAGTTTGTGTAAAGCCTTTGGCTACTAATCGTGCCTTATAGCGTGTGTTTTCTCCGTTTTCATTTTTCTTTATTTTGAATACCCATTTACAACGGACTATTTTTCTATTTTTAGGTCTATCCACAAGGACCCAAGTTTTGTTAGTTACAAGTGAGTCATATTCACTTTGAAGAGCCTCCTGCCATTTATTTTTATCATCAGAACTAATGGCTTCCTTAAAGGTTGAAGGGATATCATCTTCTTCAGCTTTGTAGAGAACTATATCTTCTGACCACTTTTTCGGGATTCTGTTTCTCAATGGATATCTCCTAACAGGTTGAGAAACTTGATTGTTTGTACTATCCGAAATTTCAGTAACACTGTCATAAAATTCTTCTTCAGTGTCGTCATTTCCAGTTACCTGTGTGTGTGTTAAAGGTTCAGTTTCGATATTGTTGATTTCTCCTTCAGTTAGTATATTTTCAGAATTTTCTGTAACTATAAAAGGTTCAGTAATAATGTTGTTGACTTCTCCTTCGTTTGGTATATTTTCAGAATTTTCTGTAACTATAATAGGGACGGATTCTGATACTTGAGTTCCAACTTTATCAACCATATTATTTTGATCACTTGACTGCGATTTGAATAAAAAATCATTTTCAAAAAATTTTACATCTCTTGTCTTAATAAGAATTTTTGGATGTTCAGGATCAACTACTCTGTATCCCTTAGTTTCGGTGCAATAACCTACAAATATGCATAGTTTGGCCTTAGCATCAAATTTCTTTCGAAGAATTTTAGGTATGTGCGCATAAACTCTGCATCCAAATATACGAAGATGTGAAAGATCCACTTTTCTTCCTGTCCAGATTTCTTCAGGGGTTTTCCCTCTAATAGCCTTAGTCGGTGAGCGATTTTTCAAGTAAGTCGCTGTATTGATTGCTTCTCCCCAATAACTTTGAGGTAGAGCAGATTCTGAGAGCATAGATCTGGCTTTCTCTACTAAGGTTCTGTTGACTCTTTCAGCCAGGCCGTTTTGCTCTGGATTGTGAGGCACAGTCGTTTGGTGAACTATACCGGACTGTTTCAAAATTTCTTTCATTTCCGAATTCAAATATTCACCACCGTTGTCAGAACGTAGAATTTTAATCTTTTTGTCAGTTTGGTTCTCGGCTAAGCTTTTGAATTCGCGAAATTTTTCCACAACTTCTGATTTTTGTTTAATTAGGTAGGTAAATGTTTTTCTAGAAAAATCGTCAGTGAAAGTCACGAAATATGAAGCACCTCCCAAAGATTGGGTACTCATAAATCCACAAACGTCACTGTGAATAATTTCCAACAAATTTGTCGATTTTGAATCTGACGTTTTGAAAGGTTGCTTTGATAATTTACCTTCCACACAAGCAATGCAATTATCTTTAATAGATCCAGCAGGCTTTGGATACCTGACACCAAGAGCTAAGTTTTTTCTAAGCAATTCCATAGATCTGAAGTTCAGATGACCAAGGCGTTTGTGCCATAATTCAGCTGAATTTTCTTTAACTTCTGTTAAATTCGCGTGAGCAGTAGGTAAATCAAGTTTGTACATACCATTGATATTTGAGGCTGTGCATAAAACTTTTCCGAATACCTTACACGTTTCTCCATCAATAATTTTTCCTCCAGATTTCGAAAAAAGTACGACATTCCCTTTCTTTACCAATGAGTTCACTGAAAGCAGGTTCGTTGAGAGGTTCGGAACATGCAAAACATCGGTAATATTGGAAGTGTTTAGTTTTACAGTACCAATGGCATCTGAAAGAATTATTTGATCATTATCTATTCTAATACTTTTCGTGACAGGTTTAGTATCATGTAGCCAATCACGTCTATTAGTCATATGACTTGTAGCCCCGGAATCTATAAACCAGTTATCACTCTTTGCAAGAAGCGACTTATCAAAAATTGGTTTACACATAAAAGAGTTTACAAAAGTTTCACTAATCTCCAAATTATCAAAATTAGAATTAGTCACGGACTGATCATCAACCACAAGTGTTACCTCGCAAATTTCGGCCTTTTCATCTTTGGATTTAGCTTTAAGAATTCTACAATTTGGTTTTATATGCCCTGGTTTACGGCAGTAATTACAAAATATGTTCTTAGTGTCTCTATTAAATTTGTTGTAAGACAACACTAAAGCACTATCTTCAGGTGTTTTACTGCAGGTGGCTAGATCTCGGCTGTCTTCTTTCATAAGTGCAGCAATGACATTGTCTGATGTTAGTTCAGTGCCAGAATGTTCCAATGCCATGACGAGTGGCTTAAATTGATCGGGTAGATTACAAAGCAGTATAATTGCAACAAACGAATCATCTACTTTGTGGTTTATTTGTTCTAATTGTTGGTGTGTCGACATAATCTCATTAACATAAGTTTCCATATTATCAATATATCGACAGTTCATTAGTTTTTTCATTAACATGAGCTTTCTAATAAGTCCGCTGTCTGCGTATGCCCTTTTTAAGTTATTCCACGCTTCAAATGCAGATTTACATCCCATTATTTTAGAGAAGACTCTTTCATGACAGCACAAACCAATTTTAGATCGGGCTCTGTCATCAGAGCGTTGCATTTCTGGTGAGCTATTGTCAAAAGGTGGATGCTTCACGCAATCCCATTGTCCACAATCAATCAGCATCATCTCCATTGAGAATGCCCATGTTGCATAGTTTGAACGCCCTTCTAATTTGTTAAAAGATGGAGTACTTACTGTATGTGCAGTTGAAATATAGGATACTACACTACTATTACTTGCGTTTGTATGAGAGAAAGGTTTTGTACAAGAATCTCCTTCCATTTTTTTTATGTTCGAATTGCAAAAATTTAGAGTATCAGAGCTCCTGGGCCCATAACCAAAAGGAACTTATTGCCTTTAAATAGGTATTCTCTCAACTCCAAATAAAATAATAATATGTAAGATAAAAAGACTTATGTATTTTCTTGATAAATATTTTAAACAGAAAAAAACAAACTGACAATGACAAAGAATATAAAGAGAAAAAACAAAGTGGCCTATCAAAAGATATATGAAAGAAGGTTGGTGTGTAAACTAAATAGTTCCAACAGGTTATAGGTAATTAATATAGGTTAATAAACTTAATAAAAGAGAAAATAACACAATCTTTTTCAAGCTTTCTATTTTATTATATAAAGTTTACAAGTTACAATAACAAATTGATTACACTAAATTTAATATAATACAAAAAAATACCAACTTAATACTAGAAACGTTTTCTTCTTTTATTAATGGCTTAACTGTGCATTTCGCACAATTCTGCCAATGTCAAGTGAAAAAAATAATTTCTACATGTAAAATGAAAATGAAATAAATGAAAGATGGTGATGATCTTAGCAACATTCTGCAATGTTACAAAAAGTTATGCTTCTAAAAATAGTTTTTAATTAAAAATATAAGTATTAGAATAATACAACGAAAATGATATATTCTTACATTAAAAAAAATACTAATATTAACAGGAAACTTATATAGGTACTTATATATATTATCATATGCATTACAACAAGGACCTAACAAAATGATAAGGTCAATAACTGTAGCTACAACATGATATTAAGACCAAGCCCACGGTCCAGATGAAGGGACCCATCCTTGTGAAGGCAATTTGGGCCAGGCGGGCGCGGGCCACCCTCCACTGCTAGTGAGCGCGGCTGCTGCAGCTGTGGCGGCGTGATGAGCAGCCCCGGCAGCACCGGCCGCTCCAGACTTCTGGATTACGGCCAGCTTCAGCGATTCTATGTCTGTGAGAAATGGAAAGATTGCCGATTAAAGGAACAAAATTATCGCTCTTTCGGAATACCACAATCTTAGATGAAGAGCAAATGTAAGATTTATTTCATCTAATTCTAAGAAATGATAAATAGAATTAAAAGTAAAAAATCGTTAACACACCATATGTGTTGTGATTACTAATTCAACCAGCGGTTCTCAAACTTATGCAAATCAAATATTTAAACAGAGCCTTAAAATTTTAATTAAATATAAACTTTGATTAATAGCTAGCTCTGTTCCCCTGAATTCGCCTTCGTAAATTATAAGCTATATCACCCGCGTATGATGCATGTTGATGATGGAATCAATATTTCCGAAGATACCTTCTACAAATAAACAAACTAAGTTGGAAACTTTACTTCATTATAATTTTAGTACAGATCAGAAGTAAAGTTCAGTTACCTAAAATCTTACTCGGTGAATATGCATAATCTAATCATATAGGCTTACCTGCATTTTGCAGTCTAGCTGCTTGCGAGTGTGCAGCCCTTTGCAGCGCTTTAGCTGCTGCAGCTTCTCTGGCAGCGGCAATCTTTTGTGCTACAGCAGCGCGAGCTTTAGCCGTAGCTAGTTGTGTTTGCGCTTGTACAGCTGCTTGTGCTGCTTCAAGTGCATGCGCACGAGCATGACGAGCCGCTTCCTCGCTAGGATATCAATGAAATTGCTATTATAAATAAAAAACTTATTTATAAGTTTTCGATGCCATGACAAGTGAAGTAATAAAATTTTCTTGAAAAAATAACGGGAAACAAATGCTTGAAAAATCTACCAACCCCAGGTACTCTTAGATGGGACTCGAAGTCACTTTCGTACACTGGGCGACTGCTCTAACCACTGAGCTACCCAGGACCTAACAGGATAGACGATTTTTTCAATCACTTGTTAATTTTCGCTACCAGTGAGCAAATTTTAATCAATGTTCAAGCAATCCATCCAAACCGAAGGTCATGGGTTCCCATCTCAGAGTACCTGGGGTATATTTACTTATTTATTTTTTAGGTACGTCAACATCATACATATGTATTTACAATACAATATTTAAACAATTACAATTTCTGATACATATGTGGTTGGTGAATTTTTTTAAACAGTTTTCTATAAGAATATTTTCCAGGAGAGCATTGTGAACGCAAAACTGATTAAATATAAAAATAATAGGTACCTAATACTAGTTCTGTTATTTACGTGAATGTACAAGGAGAAATTACACATCTTTTGATTTTTTCATATCATTTTGAAGCTAATGTCTGCTTTTCAATATTTTGTAATAATAGGAATGACGACTGGGTAAAAAAATGCAATTCTATTTAGTCCGTCAGTCAGATAATAGAAAAATATTAGATACGTATTTTTTTTACTTCAATTTAACAAGAAATACCTTAGATAACAGGCATTAAAGTTGAGGAGTGGGGGCTCGCTACGTCACAGTTTAGTAGAAAACGTACCCTAACGTGACGTCATGCGAAATTTCGACTCCATGTAACGCCGTAATTTTATGATTACGAAAAAAATAAAAAAAATACGTTTAATATTTTTTAACACTCTACCTGACGGACAAACAAACAAAAAATAGTCGTCATCCCTATAACATAATCTTCAAGTATTTTTCTTAAAATACTTGAAGATTATGTTCAATATTATTAATACTGGTCTCATTGACAAGTCACGTTTTCTTAACAGCATTTATGTTTCAAGATACGTTGTAATCAATATTCGAGGACGAGGAGAATGAGCAGTGCTTAGCACTTTCGGTCTGCGATTGTGTAGGTTAAGCAACTTTTGTAAAGGTCAGTCATTGGATGGGTAACCAAAACTTATTATCTCGAGCACGTTAGTCATTGATCCCGGCTGCGTTCTGCAGTAGTTAGCACACACTAATCCGCAACGGGCTTGCATGATGGGTTTTTAGGGTGTTGGGTACTTTCTGAGGGAATGGATTATGCCCTAGCGTGGTTTCAGCAATTGGTCGGTGTTGATTTCAATCTTTAATGGGTAAATACCTTCTCTGCGCGGCGTGAGCTGCCGCAATCTCCTTAGCACTGGCGATGCTCTGCTGTTCTATGGCAGCATGCTTTGCAGCTGCCACATCGTGTTGGGCTGCCATCACTGCTGCGGCGGCGGCTTTAGCTGCGGCTACTGCTCCAGCTACCTCCGAACTGGTATCTGGTGCTTAGATTATTTTTAATTAGTAAATTTATTACATAGTATTCAACTTGACATTTATGATAAAAATCTTCTTAAAGAAATTTCTTATCCAACAGTGAAAACAGCATCGAAAAATGCTGAGCAACTTTCAAATTACTTTTGTAGTTAAATATATACTGAGTCTGGCCGTAAATACTGTTAGAATAAAAAACAAACATAACATTACTTTTGAAATTTCGAATCTGTTATTTTTATATGCTTGTTCATTGTCTTTTCTTGTTTTCGCTCCAATACATTATAAAATATATTTTATATCTTAATAAACCTTCACGATTGTTCAACATAATATAATATAGGCATTATCCGACTTCAGTGATAGTTTGGTGGGGTGTTATGAAGTTCCTATGAAGGAACGACCGAGCCATATTTTTGTGAAAAAACCATCACAACATCGGCACAAGTATATCCATATACCATTCTCGGGAAGGTAGTCAAGTGCCTAACAACACCATATTCAATAACCAAGGATGATCCTTTCAGCAAGTCTCAGCGCCAGGTCATAAAGTTCGATGCACCCAATATTGGTTAGAAACGAACGTTCCAGACTTCAACAGAGCTCATGAGACTGGCCGTCATCTAGACCAGATCTCAATCAGCTGAATTATATGGTTTATGGTATGACTTTTAGGGCTTGCTCTAAACAATATAATAATTTGGAGGAGTTAAGAATTTTCCCATGGAAAGAGAACGTGCGTCTATTGATAACTGGCCTCAAAGTTCAAAGAACTGCAGCAAATGGAGACCACTTCGAAAAAGCTATATATTTTAATGGCTTTATATTAATGTAATAAACTATCATACTGTAAAAGTAATAAATGTTACTTTGAATAAAACAATGTTGATTTTCTTTGTAACAATTTATGGCAAGACTGTGTATGTTATTCGTATATACAACAATTAACGGAATGGGCAATGACATCACTAAATTGATTTTAATAAATTAATACATAGTATAGAATAAAGTTGCTTTCCGTCTGTCTGTCCCTATGTATGCTTTGATCTTTAAAACTACGCATCGGCTTTGATATGGTTTTTTAATAGATAGGGTGGTGCAACGTGTTTATGTCTAATACACGCGGGTGAAGCCGCTGGCGGAAAGCTTAAATAATAAAAATAAAAAATAGAATTATATCACACAAAAGCTTAGCATGCGATAACGCCTGTTGAAATATTACCTGCAGCTCCTGTTTTGAACTAAGGACTCATTCCAATGATTTACTATTGTTTGCTTACCTCCTTGTCCATGGACGAACGGCCCAAGCTGAGGAGGCGCCCAGCCTGGTAGACTATTCCAACCGGACAGCCCATTCCAGCCTTCCAAGCTCCTCTTGTCTGTTTTATTGCTGGCCATAGCTACAGCAACAACAGCCAGTGTCATCTGCAAAGTATAAATGAATATCTATGCTTAACACTTTCAAGTTTTAATTAAAATTAATATATTAAAATAACAAAAACAATTCGTATATTGATACAAGAACTTCGAAATTCATAGGATTTATACAAAAACTCCTATAAAAAAATATTCCAATTTTAAAAGTTGTTTATTTATCGTATATTGTAAGTAGTTTTTATATTAGGAACTCATTAAAATTGTATTGTTTTATAAAACAGTAAATATTTGTACCAGCTCAAACTCACCAATATTTTGAATGCCATTTTTTATGAGGATGTTTGTTGGTTGATATCAACTTGTATTGTGATGCTCCAGTAGGAGCTACCAAAGCTTTTATATGTTCAAACGCGGAACATATCATCATAGAAAGGAAAACGCCCTGATAAGCAAAAATCAAGACAACCTTCCTCCTATCACTTAAAATCGCCATTACTTTCATCCGAACTATTAGGTAAGGCTTCAATCGACAGGTGCCATTTCGAGATCTATATCGTTCGATTTAGTATTTAGGTGCAACAAAATCATCTTGGCATCCTAATCAAAGCATTGTTTATCTTTAATTGGTATTACAACATTTGTTGAATCTGAGCTTTATCTTTTTGAAATTTCAAAATGTTCTCTGCCGATTTTATCATTGAGCAGAAATAAAGTATACAATCTCTTCCGTGGTTTGTTCATTTAAATCGTACAAAAATGACTGATAGTGTCTGTCTACTCGGTAAGGCATACGATGCAGGTATGTAACTCTGTATACCGCCTGAAGTATATTTTTTCAGCACTATAGGTAGGTATTTCAAAATCATTGCTTAAAATATCCTTTTAAAAATATTTATATACTAATATTATAAAGAGGTAAGTATTTATCTTTGTTTGTTTATAGGTAATCTTCGGAAATACTGATCCAATTATGAAAATTGTTTCACCTACGGGAAACTACATCATACGCGGTTGCTAGTGCTGCTTATAGGATATGATTCACACAGGCGAAAGCGCGGAATAGCTCGCTAGTTTCTGATAAATTGACCACGTTATAACCACTGCTCTATCGACATAGCTAACGTTAACTCAGCAGTTCCACGAAGCCTTATTTGTCTCCGAAACTACCTTAGAGCTTGGCAATTTGTTCCAATTTCATCAGTCACTCATAAATTAGGGACTTATTAAGAGAATGCATATACACTAAAAATCAACTGGTTTTTTAAAGAAAATGAAACAAAGTAGGTAATAATTACCAAATAAGCTGTAATTAAAAATAATAAAGCTGTAAGTCTTCTCACACTTAAATGAAAATTTATTTACTATCGATTGAAAAAAAAAAATTACCAATATAAATTAATATTTATTCCATTTCTTATTATTTTACCATTTTGAGATAACGATCAATATTACATTTGATTAATTTCGCATTCACAATGCTATACTGAAAATTATTCTTAACACAAAATGCTTAAAAAATCCACTTGGTCCCTGGCACCCTGAGATGTCTATGTTATTCACTACCGAACGTCTTTTGCCTCTATGATCAATCGTAATGAAATAATGAGTTAATAATTTATTTCAAAATCCAAGTAGGTCGCGCTGCCCTACTGACGGATACCCACAAAATGTGAACGAGAAGTATGGTTTATATAAAAGTTCATAAGAATTATCTTCCGGTTGCATGCTTATTCTGGTTGGTGAACTTAGTTTGATGTCATTACTATCGAAAAGTAGCTAATTTGAATAATTAATAATTTCGATATAAAATACCTATTGAAAGAAACATTTCTTCGTCTTTTTACAAGTATTGGACAACATTACATACATGGAAAGATACCAAATAAAGTTTATATGCACTTGTAATATTATAGAAATCTAAAACATCGGTAATGTCAGATTCCATAATATGTATTTCTGCAATGGATTTTGATAATATGGAGAATACTGAATAAATAATGGAGAATACTTTCAATAAATTGAGGTTTAAAAATTGAGTTGGGAAATTTGACAATTTTGTGTATTCGTTCTGTTGAATCTACTTGAAATTACATTTTATTTTGGTAGTTTCTTGAAAAAATACTTTGTCATTGCTGTTTCTTATTTTAGTAAGCCTGGCAGCCCTAGCTGAAGTGCTACCTGAAATCTAAACTATTATGGAATCTAAGATATACATACGGTAATTGCCGTTTCATATGGCAATCAGGTTAAAATCAAATTGTATGGTATCACGGCTTCGGCAGATTGAATATTGCCGTGTGCTGCGCTAAAATACGGCAATCAACTACTGTTAAACTACTGACATTATTTATAAAATTATTCTTAATGAAAAATGCTTAAACAATCCACTTTGTCCCTGACACTCTGAGATAGGACTCGAACCCACGACATTTCGCAATCCGGGTGACTGCTCTAAACCACTGAGCTACCAAGGACATTACAGGACTCAAAATTTTCAAGCACTTGTTACTTTTTCGCTACTAATAATTTATAGAATTACTTTAATGCAATAAAAAAAAAAATAAGTTTTACTTTAAATAACATTTAACGAAAAATAAATAACTTCTATTTCAACATTTTCAAGTAGGTTATATTACATGCTGCTATCATGGACTGCCCGCTCGCAAGGAATTTTCCTTCTGGTATTTTTTGTTTCTCTTTTGCTCACGGGTTTCTAAAGTTTTTAGTTCAAATAGCAAATGTGTTAGCGCGTTGTTTAAATACTAACAGGTGTTTTCAGAGAATAGCTTAACTGTATTATATTAAGAAAATGTCTCCCGGTTTAGAATTGAAAGAACAAGCAAATAGCTTAGCTCCTTGGAAATGACTTGGCACAGATTTAATGAAGAAGAAGATTTAATAAGCTTTAAAATAAATATTTTAAATGTCAAATTTTGTACAGTAATTCTCTTTAAACCAATAAGAATTTTAATGTACGTTATGTGCAGTGAGTGCCCTAAAGCATTTACTGTAAATCGATGCCTGAAAAAGAATAATATTTACAAAAGAAAATATACGGTAACTAATGACTGAATGAGGAAGTATTTAAAAAAAAGAAAGCACTAAAAAGCACCTCCACTAGATGGCGACTCTAGCAAAAATTGATTTTTGCAGGAAACGAATGGACCAAAGACAATCATTTTCGTTCCTTTTAACTAACATATTGAAATTTGAATGAACAAAAAACTGAAATTTGAAAAGTTCGAAACTTAAATATCAATACAAATACGATGAGTACTAATAGAATATGAGTTGTTTATTGAGTTTTGAAAACTAATTTACTTTTATACATGAAAGAAAACCGGAAAGGTTGTCATGGAGAAACCAAGAAAGTACCATAGTGACATCTAGTTTGGTTTCAGGAACTACTGTTTTTTAAATACTTCCTCATTACAGTTTTACATTTTTTCTTGTATACGTACGGCAACTGTCGGCAACTAAAATAAATGACCAGCGGGCGGCAACACTGCCTGCCTGGCTGTCACTGTCATCACAAACTACACTGTCAGCTGTCAGTTAGGTTGTGTCGTTTTTGTGCTATTGGAATTATTGATTGTAAAATTCCAGTTTTTATTTGATAACTATTACTTTGAATTAATTATGCAACACGTTTAATAACGTAGATCTTCAAATAGATTTTCACTAGAAAAGGTAGGATTTTTCAATTTATTTAAAATTATTAATAATACACTTTTGATTACGTAAAAAATTACATTCAGTTAGTCTGAAATTTTACAAAAATAAATTAATGACAAAAATTAATTATTAATGGTATTTGCTAACGTACAATAAATTTTCCTGAATGATCTTATTTTGTATGACTTAAAATAGTACTTCTCTAGATTTGAGTAGGTAATATGGTTTCAATTTTATTTTAAAAACTTACTTTTTTATAATATTTGCTTTGTTTCAGAACTCAAACAAAAAAGAAAATGGCCAATAAGCCTGAGAAAGAAAAGCCTAAGTTTGAGTAAGTAATTTCCTATTTTTAGGGGAAAATATGACCTAAACAAAGTTAAAGTACCTATTTCATTTACAAAGTTGGTAATTTTGTATAAGACTAAAACTACAATAATAATATTTCTTTATCTTTCTCCAAAATACAAAAAATGTACAATTATATAGATTATATCGGGGACATCAAAATTTATCGTGGAGACTGTTGCACTTTAGTGTAAAACCCATTTTACAGGTTACCAGACCTCCAACATCCAGAATATATGTTGTACACAATTGTTTAAAAGTAGTAGTAGTAGTAGATCCTGCTAATTCATGTAATGTGATTCGTTTATTTGAATACCTTTTATGTTGTGTATAAAACAATACAGACACAGAGACACACACAAATAACTATTCTTCAGGTTGATTTAAAACATATGTCTACTGCAAAGTCATGCTAGAAGTTTTCAACTGCTTTCCCAGGAAAGGAATGTTTAAATGTAAAGTTGTTATATGTTATCCATCAAAGTAGAATTTTTTAGATGTTAATAGAAAAATATATACTAGTGCACTGCCAGCCAATGGCTTAGGTGGGAGTGAAATAGGTGTTGTGGAAAATAAGAAAAATATTAACTGTAGTCAAGTTTGCAATTATAAAATAATGTCTATGATATAATAGGAGCAGTTCAATATGTAAAGCTTCATATACTCTTCTGAGCACCATAAAAGTTATAATAGGATTCAATATCTCTATCTCTTTCAATCATGTCCCTTCTTATTCATCTATAATATTATCTATGTACATGAACTATGATGTTTTATACACTGCCTAGTGAATTCAATCGAGTTTCAATCTGTATTTTCATCTGTAAAGCAAGTATAATGCAGTTGTTCCTGCCTGCTCCCACTCCCCTTGGCAACACGCTTATTTAATGTAACAATATTAAATAAATATATTTATTATGTAAATGGATGCTGCTAAGGGCATTCTTCTCTATGTTCATGAACACAACTATGTATTATAATATGACCTTAATTCAATGTCATACTATTTGAAATAGTTTATGAGGGCAAATGATACCTAGTTGATAGATGGGTTTCACAAATTATTTCAAATATTATAATTTAGTCTTATTTAAGAAATTGTTTGATGGCAAAAACTTTAAAACTTAAGATTTATTGAAAAGAAAATCAGTCCATCTTGTTTTCCTTAGTGTATATTACAATTTCTATGTTATATAATATGTATAATAACTTTGATATATTTACTAGCTTTCTGCCAGAAGCTTGAACTGTTTGTTGTAATAAAAAGTAGCCTATGTCAATTCAGGCTTAGAATTATCGTTATACCAAATGTCTTCAAAATCCATTGCATAGTTTTTGCATGTCAGAGATACATACATGCATTCATCCTCACACAGATTTATTTATACTATTTGCTTACAATTCTTTATCTCATTATTAAATTTCATCAATTTTGCATTTGTAATGCTGAAAATTTTTTATTAATATAATTTAGCTGAATAATACAGTGTCAGCTCAAAAACAACCCCAAAGGAGCTGCACAATTCAAGTTGATAATTTTATAGACACCACACATACATCATAACATTACGATTCTTTATTAATAAATGTTGTTCAAAGCTCTTAATTTGCTATTAATTAATGTTGGTCAAAACTTTAACGCAGTTTAATTATCATAATTGTACATTAGCACTATGTATTGCAAATAAATAAATAATCATTGTATTGTCATAGTCATCTGTGTAAGTGTTAAGCCGTGTACCCATTAGGTTAAATGTTTTCTTCCTTGTAATATTCGGATGAGTAGTATAAATATATGCAGTTAACGACATTTCGCTTGCTGACTATTGCTGAGCGTCGTAGGCGCGATTTGCTCACCACACCAGCGATACACTGAACCGCCTAATGAACGCCAATGAATGGCATTAATTGGTGTTTGTTGCATTTAACTTTACAGTATTGCATGTTAAAGTTTATAATGTAATTTCGGTGTAGTAACAATTGAGGGAGCGCTTAGGAATAAGGAAGTATCACAAAACCCATTCATTGACGTTCGTTTGACTAATCAATTGGAGTGCGTCTACCAACGACGTATGTTCTTAGTATATATAGTGTGTTGTTTTAGATATTTATCTTGATTTATTGCCTCCAAAACAACAATTACTTTGCGATGATATATCCTTGAAGCCACCTAGAGTCAGTCTGTGGACAGTCTATTCTGTTTTTTTAACTAGAGCTTAATTTACAGACTGCTGCCAAAGATCGTAAATGGAGGCATCGCTGGGATTGTTGGAGTTTCTGTTGTATTCCCCTTGGATCTTGTCAAAACACGACTGCAGAACCAAACGATCGGCCCCAAAGGAGAGAGGCAGTATACGAGCATGTAAGCATTAATAATACTAGCATACGACTCATATATATATATACCATATTATATGGTGTTAAACTAGATATAACAAACTTTTATTTAGCTTGCCATGTAAGTATGCTTAAGTCAAATCATGCGAGCTGAATTTGATCCACTTCTTTGTTTTCTATTGATTTGAAATTTTACATGCATGCATATAACTTTGATTATAATGCGAAATTAATATAGAGATGTCCTGAGGAGCTGGGAGGTAGCTGTTTCTGATTAACGTAATTCCGTCGAGTTTGGACTCGTTTGATTTGTCTATATATCCAACAAAAACTTGTTTTTTTTAATAAAATAATTGACTATGTCTTCGATTCCCAGTTGGGTCAGTACAGATAGTAGCTATTGCTATATTTCCTCGATTCTGGTTATTGTGTTACTTTCGTTGTTACACATTTCTATAATACAAGTGATTTAGCTACTAAATGTTGCTACTAAATGTAAGGATCTGAAATAAAAGTGCTGGGGCTCAGGCCCTCCCTATGGACGGATGGAATGACCCACCACACGGTCCTAGTGCGGTTTGGTAGGTATTAACTATTACAGATGCAGCTGAGACGAACAGTCTAACGTGCCTTCCGAAGCACGGAGGAGAAAGAGATAATAATATGTAAATTCTTAGTCACCTATCCTAGGACAGGTCAATGCAAAAGTTGCTTAACATCCGTATCGCGAAATGAGCGCGCTAGCCACTGCGTCATCGAGCTCTATGTGATATTGTCTAATATTTATTTATTTAATTATAAATTAGTGATTTTGGTTACTATCTCATTTTGTATTTCCATAGGCTTGACTGCTTCAAGAAGACCTACGCAGCGGAGGGATACTTCGGTATGTACCGTGGTTCCGGTGTCAATATACTGCTGATCACACCTGAGAAGGCTATCAAGCTCGCAGCCAACGATATGTTTAGGCACTACCTCACGCTTAATGATGGGTAAGAAAAAACCATAGCTTTCTAATAGTGAATACAGGGTTAATTCGATACATTTTGCTTTAATACAAAACCAAATCATATTTATTGCTCCAATAACTCTTTATCTAGTGTCTAATATGTAGGTATTATAACGTCCCTGCTCATTACTATAGGTAGGTTTACTCTTCGGACGGTTTATTGTCAATACTGACCGTTAATATTTTAAATTATTACTATTTCGTATTTGAATTTGCGTGTTCGTGTTTTGCTGGTTGACAATCTTTCTTTTCTGATCGAGACCGGCATGATTTAATGTTATCATATTCGAAAAGACTGCTACCAGTTTTTCATTGCGCCCATCCATCTTCACCATTAGAATTAAGTTATCAGAGTACTTCACACAGTCCAACCCTAACAAGTAATTTTGAAATTATTTCATCATCATCATTAGCCTATTAATGTACTCATAGTTGGAGCATAGGTCTTCCCTATAGATGGAATCAAAAAGGGAGAATGGACCATGACAAAGGCCTAGTGCGAATTAGTGGAAGTTGACGACTCCACATGTCAGCCGGAAGTAACGGCATAACATGCCTTCTGAAATACGGAAGCACTCGAAATTGGTAAATTATTGTTCGCCCATCCTGTGACCGGCCCTTATGAATCTTGTTTGACCTCGGCGCAAACTGAATGCTTTAACTACTACGCCATCACGCACCTCTTTATAAATTACTAGCTTTCCGCCAGCGGCTTCTCCGCCTGGTCCGCTGGGACCTTACTCATAGATCTAAAGTCCCCTCCCGCACGCGCACCCCCGCCTTGGTGACGCCCACTTCGCAAGCACGTGCAGCAGAAATCGTAATATTTTAATTTCCCCATATCTTAAAAACCAAATGTCTAATTTTAATCTTTCAAAGACTTATAGTAAACACTTATAGACTTAATAGCATGAGTAAAATAAACGCGTTTAAATGTAGTCCAAAAAAATCCAAGATTTTTAAATAAAAAAATCGTTGTTTTGCTTCACTCGACATAGATAGGAATAGTGTGTCGCGGACTTTTTTGTAGATTGTAGATAACATAGGCTAAAATATAGCCTATGTTACTCGTGGATAATGTAGCTTTCGAATGGTGAAAGAATTTTTAAAATCGGTACAGTGGTTTTTGAGTCTATTCATTACAAACAAACATACAAACAAATTTTTCCTCTTTATAATATCAGTGTAGATTTAGAAAGTTTTTATTCAATAAAAAACAACTTTTAAACTGGTAACTGGTTTAATTTTGTATGTGTTTTAAAGATAAAAAAAAAACCAACCGATGTAAATATACGCGTATACTGTATTGTTTGAGATAAGAACTCGATATAAGAATCACACACAAGATAAAGTTGATGTAATATTATCCTACTGTAATATAATTATCTATGATATGTAACAATTTTTATAACTATTCTAAACTACGTAATTTCAAAAAAACGGGTCGTCGATGATTATCATTATCTGAAATGGCCTTGATATGTAATTATGTAGGTCAGGGCTGCCTATTTGAATTTGTCCAACAATCCAAGTGTTCTTAATAGGGTTTCTTTAATTTGGCGGATAAATCAATTGATACTTGGCCTTCTGTTACAGTAGATATTTCATGAATTGCGTGTACGGTAAATCTAAAAATATCTATCGATAACCACTGCTACTTCTTTCACCGTTTTTGATTTTTTTTGATAACATTTTTTCTTATTTGAATTCTATTGCCATTATCTTGTCTCACATTTTTATTATGAGCAAGTACCCATAATTGAATCTGCATGAACAAGGGCGTGTTCAAGTTAATTCAGTCAGAAAGTAGTAAATGGAACTAACAATAAGATTTCCAAATGCAAAAGTTTACAAATTTTATTAAAATTAGGTCAGCAGTTTAGGCGTAATAGGGATTATTGTTATTGAAATTCTCCTTTTATTTCTAAGTTAAAATACATTCCACCGTCTTTTTATCGCTTATTTTAACTAACATTTTTATTGCGTCCGTATTGTTTACTTATTGAAAATAATATTCAATATTTTAGTTTCATGCATCCTACTTATTACTTTATCCTACTTATTTTGTTTAAAATACTTTTGATTTCCTAAGTCCCGTTTGGGAAATAGTTTTCTTTTTTAAAAGAATAATGTAATTTTTATTTAAAGTATCAATGTGTGTTTTCTTAAAAGTATTCGTCGGAACGCCTTATGTCGCGCTACTTGAATCATTATGTTTGGCCGACAATTGCCGCGCTTTAAAAATCAAACGCTATGGAGCTATAGTTGTTTTACTATATATAGTACTTGAGTGTACTGTATCTAGAACTCTTACCTTCTTACCTTTAGCCTTGTTACAGCACACTGCCAGTATTTCCGGCAGATGTTAGCAGGCGGATTGGCAGGCGCCTGCCAAATAATCATAACTACGCCCATGGAACTGCTGAAGATTCAAATGCAAGACGCCGGACGTGTGGCGGCGCAAGCTAAAGCGGGTAAGTACTATATTAGTGAAATTATATATGTATACTATAAAAGTTAAATTGGGTCGATCGAGATCTGCCCGGGCATTTCACGATATGTCTCCATTTCTTGATTTGGCCAGCTATCCATACAAGCCCGCCATATCGTTCGATGCTTAATGTTTGACAACTCGCTTAAAGAATTTGAAGATTGTTATAGGTATAACATTCTTGATATTCATGATTTGTTCCAAATCTGCTCGTTGGTATTTATGTCATCTGATAGCAGGCGAATAATTTGTTCGTGAAATCGAGCCTTGGCTAGGGTTGGCAACTTTTTTTAAAACGAATAATAATATTTTGATCTGAAAAAAATATTAAACAGTATTTAAGAAAAATGTACAGAATTTTATGCATTTAATGTTTTAAATGCATATTTTCACTCCATATTAAGATTTGTTTGTGGCTGACTTACAATAAACGCTCTCTGACTGTTAAACAAAGTGTGAACGTCTGAATTTAACACTTAGGGTTAGATGCACTAACTTACGTTAAAAATAACAAATATGTTGAAGTACCGGTTAAGCAAAAATTAATTAGTTAACATTTGGCAATGGTTGGATGACATCATAATTTTAACTGTAAACTCCATCCGCCTAAGTTTCGCTGGTTAATGTTATTGTTTTACTATGCCATGAAACTAGATGATTGTAATGCATTCCACAGTGAATGTTAAAGTCAGCGTGACAGATATTGTCAAATTTGACATAAACCTTATAACTTTAACTGTAATTGTGGTACAACCGAGACTTATAATAATTACTTACTTTTGCCAGCGGCTTCGCCCGCATGGTCCCTAGGGAAATTTTAAGTGGAATAATAAGTATCATGTTATCTAAGTCAGCTAAAACCCTATCTGTATACCAAATTTCATCAAAATCCATTCAGTAGTTTCGCCGTGATTGACGGACAAACATTCAAACAAAGAAACTTTCTCATTTATAATACCAATAGGATTTTGATACTGAAACAGTATTTTTTGTACTTTTGTTCTACAGTAGAAATTATAATGTAGTGAAAAACAGCATAATCCTGTTTTTGACAGTAAAGGTGGCAACCCTTGGCCCACCCTGGCTTCTGCTTCTTCCACGATCGCGTTGTATATCAGTTAATTTAAGGATAATGAACAGCGGCTTTTTTACAGAGGGCAAAACGATACCGCGCGTTACTGCGATGGAATTGACCAGGAAGCTGTTGAAGGAGCGCGGCATATTCGGCCTGTATAAGGGTGTGACCGCGACCGCCGGTAGGGATGTGCCGTTCAGTGTTATATATTTCCCCATGTTCGGCACTCTCAACGCCATGGGGCCGAAGGAACCCGGCGCTGCAAATCCACCCTTCTGGTAGGTATTATAACTATACCGTTATCGGAAGTGCAATTATGTAACTAAATGTTTTTAGAGATGGGTAAAAATATTTAAGATGTGGATATCGATAATAAGTTTTATATAAGTATAAATTAACTACTAATTTTAACCTCCGATATAGAGGTTTAACTATATTTTAAAACTCACTGTGATGAGTTTTGAATAAATTTAGTACTAAAATACGTTACTATTTTGACTGTTCAAGAGCGAACGAAACGCAACTTGTTCTTTGACAACTGTTGTCACCAATACAATTTTCATTCTCTAAGAATTCACAAAAAGTCCAATAGCATAGTAGTCGCCTGTCTGTTATAGTATTATATATTCGCATTAATATTGAAATAGATTTTGGCAAATAAAAATTAGCATGCTTGAAATTAATAATAACTATTATTATTATTGAAACTCCGTATAACAGTTGAATCTGATATATGTCCATTGTCTGTCCAATGTCAGCTGTTCTGTTTACATTTCAGGTATAGGTCCAGTCTGCTTTTAAATTGGTTTACATTATCGGTAGCAATAGGGGAGATGACTATTTTTATTTGTCTGCCCTCTCTGATTTATTCAAGAATATTAAACACCTATTTTTTTTATAATCTATTAATTACGGCGATACATTTAGTTGAAATGTCGCATAACGTCACACTTTTGTACATGTTCTATAAAGCTGTGACGTAACGAGCCCCCACTACTCAACTTTGATGCCAACTAAGTCATTTCTTGTTAAATTGAAGAAAAAAATTACGTATGTAAAATTATTCTATTCTCTGACTGACGGACTAAATAGATTTTCTTTTTTTTACCCAGTCATCACAACCATTAACTGCAACTTTTCCCTGTATTTTAGATAATCATAACTGTTTTTATAAATCTAGGTGGTCGTTCATAATGGGATGCATATCAGGTTCGACTGCTGCCCTCTTAGTGAATCCTCTCGATGTGGTCAAAACAAGAATGCAGACGTTGACCAAGGGATCCGGGGAACGTCAGTACACGTCCATATACGATTGCATCACGTGAGTATTCATTATCCTGTTATTGATTTGATTAGATCATGTTATGGTCCACTAGATAGCCCTCTGACTAAATGAAGTCATGCTTTCTAATAACTGGCACATGAAATTGTTATTGAAAAAGTCCGGCATTTTGAAAAATCTTCTT